GTCTCTCTCTCTCTCTCTCTCTCTCTCTCTCTCTCTCTCTCTCTCTCAGAAATAAACAAACATTAAAAAAAAGAATTTAAAAATAAATAAGTAAATAAACTTTATATATATATAACTTCCTCTGGTGATGTCCATATGCAGCCAGTGTTAAGAGCCACTGATTGAGTCAGTGCAGGTTTTAAAGAGGATGCGAAAGCCCCATCAAAGACTAGGACTGGGATTTATTATTAGTAATCGTTGATAACAGCTAACGATGTGGAATTCCCGGGGCTCCATTCATAGTTTAATTTACAAGAGTGAGGCCCTAGAGTTGTGCAGTGCACAACCTGCCTTGCTGTATTTGGCTACCCAGATAAGCAGCACTTACTGAGTCCTCAACTCTGTGCTAGGCACTTGCCAAGCACCATGCATGTATCCCCTCATTTATTCTGCAACACTCTCAAGGAGAAGTGTGCTAAACAAGAGCAGTTGTTGCACCTTCTCAACTCTGCTGTTGTAGCAGAAAGCAGCCATACAGACAGTAAGTATCGAGTGGGCATGGCTGTATTCCAAAGCAGTTGAATTTGGTCCAAAGGCTTAGTTTGTGGACTCCTGCTGCAGAGGAGACATAAACTTGCCCGAGACTAAGAAGAGACAGAGCCAACATTCAAACCCAGGTCTGTAAGGCTTCAGTGTCCATACGCCTAAGTTTCATTCTGCGTGTGTCTGACAACCACTGAAAGATATCACTGGCCATTTAACTTTCCTCTCCATTAGCCTGTCCCTCTTCTCTGCCAGCTCTTCCTCTGGATATTCATCTTTGTCTTTTCAGGGACTACCTAACACTCTACCCCATGGCCACTTTCCTGGGAGTCTCTGATCTCTCAGGACACCCCAGCTGCCTGAGAGACCTGGCCAGAGCAGCCCGGAGGCCCACCTGACCCCCAGGGCAGCCGGTATGTTCTTGGCCTGGCATCCGAGCTTTGTGGAGCAGCCTCTGCTGTTACAGGGGACACGGGGAACCTCTTTTAATGACACCAAAAGGCGGGCAGGCTGTCTCGGCAGCTCTCTAAGCTCTGGAGGCCCCACACATGTGTCCGCAGACCTCACACGTGTCATTTCTGGAGCCGGGCACACTAACTGGAAAGGCAATGGTTTTCCCAGCCTGCATTTCTGGTCTGAAGAACCAGGGTCCCCTGGAGGAACGACCACAGCACTCTAGCCTCAGAAAGACCCCATCCCCCACAGCTAAAGGCTGGTTTCGCTTTAAAAAAAAAAAAAAAAAAAAAAAAGCCTGGAGCCAGAGCTGGTCACTGGTTAGACCCGTGTGCAGAACTGGCTGTAATAATATGCAGGGTCCCTCTTCTAAACAAGACTCAGCCTCAGCGGGACCTGCTTTTGCGGTGGGGCTTGGCCAGGGGCTGACTGATGACCTGTGGGGTGAAGAGTCTCAGCCTCGCCAATAAGGTGTTTTTCCTCTGGAATTTAACAGGAGTGGAAGGCAGAGAATGCCTGTTGGAAGTGAAAGAAACCAAAGTCAGATAAAAATTTCCCAAAACCTGCTGACGGTTCCCCCCACACACACACCAGCGAGAATGACCTTTTTAAGAATCGAATGAGACGCGATCTTTCCCTGAGCTGAACCCACCCGTCCACCCTCACACCAAACGCTCTCCCTGTCACTCACTCACACCACCCCAGACACACTATGCTTTTTTGTTCCCGGAACAGACCGAGCTTGTTCAAGGTACATGAGTCACACATGCTGCTCCCTCTGCCCCAAATGCCGCCCCCCCCCACCTCCTTCTCCTCAACCCTCAGATCTTAAATGTCGCCTCCTCAGAGAGACCCTCCCTGTGCACCTGGCTGAAGATGGGTTTTCCCGTTAGTCTCTATCCCGGTCCCCTGCTTCCGTCAGTGGGATCCTGGCAATTTGCAATCATTTATTTCTATTGGTTTGTGTACATGTGTCCTGTGTGCCTCCCTAATAGAATGTCTGCTCTGGGAGAGCAGGAGCCATGTTTGCTTAGTTCACCTCTGTGAGTCCAGTGTCTTCACCATACTTGGAATACTGGAGGAACTCAACACATATTGCAGAATGAATACTTTTATTGTGTCCTTTCTCTCGGCCCAGTCCTGTTATGTAGGAGCTCGTGGTTTTGTGTACTTACTTTGCATCTGGCCACATTATTGAATCCTCTCATTAGTCCCAAATGCTTTTCTGTTTATCCACTTGGGAATTCCGGGTCAATGGTGATACCTTAAGCAGATTAATTCTGCCCTCTCCTTGCCTAAAGTTATACAACTCATTTGTTTTCTGCTTTATGGCTTTGGCAACAGACATTACGGTTAGTTACTTTAGAGACGGTGTGACTGATGAAAATGATGAGGCTCTGCAAGGCTTGGCACACAAAGGGCTGAGAGGCAGGGTGAATAGTCAGGGATGTGCAGCAGCTATTTAAGTGTCGTGTGATAACAGCCTGTATAGGCTGAGAGCTGAGGACGCAGGAAGTAGAGAGTAGAGCTGAAAATCACTCAGATAAAGGATTAGTTGGACTTTGTAATGGGAATGGCAGCAGAAGGGGGAAAAATTCCCCAAATTGCAATCTGAATTGGGGTGTTCTAATGCATTGGCTCCCAGACAACTGAAGCTCCCAGACTGAGAAAATATCCACATTTTTAGGGGTGTCTGGCTGGCTCAGTCTGTACAGCATATGCTTCTTGATCTTGGGGTTGTGAGCTCAAGCCCCATATTGGGCCACAGAGTTTACTTTTTTAAAAAAGGAAAACATTCACGTTTTTAAAAGATGAGAGAGTTGATACAGCCAGCTGTTTATTTTGTCAAGTACCCATTTTTTAACTAACTTTTCACTACCAAAACTTTCAAAAATCAAAGAGTTGGGAACGATATAACCTGAAAACTAATAGCCTTATGAAAAAGAGAGAAGAAAGGGAATTAATTAGAATTCTCATTTTAGAAACAGTTCTGAGAATATGAATTCAAGAAAAAACATTAGCAGATATGTTTTTATGCTCTGACACTTCATCTGGCTACTTCCAAAATATCTTGTAACAATTAACACTTTTTTCCAGTTTACACAGCACCTTAACGAACGTGGTCTCACCCAATCCTCCGAACAGCACCCTGCAATGGGTAATAATAGAAATGCCAAACACGTGTCTGGAGAGCCACCATTCGTAAAACATAATTTCCCCTTCGATGCCTATGTTCCCAGACACGTGGCCTTGCAATTCACTCCCTATCAAACCCCCTCCTCCTGTATTTTCCAACCGCACTGAGCTGTTACCTACTGCCAGGTGGGTAACATGCACAAACCACCATCCCTATCGAGTTCACTTGGAGAACTCCCGTTTATCCATAAAACCCCAGTCACCAGAGAATGGCTGCCAGCCTCTTCCCAGTGGGAGGGACGGCGGGAGAGAACCGAGGGTCTATCCATAGGCAACATGGTGGTCCCAGAGAGGGGACTGAGCCTGGTGTGCGGAGAGGGAACGCACTCCCCTCAGTTGCCACGTGGAAACCACGTGACTTACAGCACTGGGTCCCCAGGACCAACCTCTCTGAGATTCAGTTTCCTCATCTGTACAACCTCAAAGGTTTAATTGTCAGTTACCAACACATATTTATTGAGTACCTAGTGTGTACCAGACCAGGCACTGCCAGGTCTTGGCATATAGTGGAGGCCTAACCTCAGAAAAGCAGCATTCGTGAAGGGAGCTGAGCCACTGCCTCAACGTTCACTTTAGTTACTACAAGAAGCTGATGACCAGGCTGTGTCATCCTGTTGAGACCTTTTCTTTTATTTTAGGCTTTTAAGGTTTGTTTATTTATTGTTGGGGGGCATGAGAGAGAACAAGCAGGGGAGGGACAGAGAGAGAAAGAGAGAGAGAGAACCCAAGAAGGCTCTGCCCTGTCAGCACAGAGCCCGATGTGAGGCTCGAACTCATGAACTGTGAGGTAATGACCTGAGCCAAAACCAAGAGTTGGTCGCTTAACCAACTGAGCCACCCAGGTGCCCCCTGTTGAAACTTTTTCTTAAGAAGTTTTTGTCTGTCTCTGTCTGTCTCTGTCTCTCTGTCTCTCTGTCTCTCTCTCTCTCTCACACACACACACACGCACGCACACACACACACTTGCTTTGCTTGGCTTTGGGCATTTCAAGGATACAGTGAGCCTGTAGAGGAGGGAGCCCCTTTGCCTGGATTTCAAGTAAATTGACAAATTCCAAGCTGATGATGGAAGTGAGGCCATCAAGAACCCAGATATCTGCATTACACATGACAGCCTTTGCTGTCGTTAGAGCCCCAGACATCCTGGGGTTTGATCCTCTCCTCTGTGATCTGGAGAACGCAAACTGCTGGACGCTTCCAGAGTCTGGAACTAGGAACAGTGATAGCGGACACCAAGGGGCGATGTGTTCTTGTGATCACGCCCTTTATTGAAATTTAACAAATACATACTGCTCTTTTTAGATAGCTTTTCCTTTTCTGATAACAGCTCACTGGAAAACAGAAACTCCTCGTTCTTTTTATAGGAGATTGTTTTCTCCAAAGTCTGGCTAAAAACATATACATGTCTCAACCCATATTTTGTAACCCAGTATCGCTTTACTCCTACAGCCGCTTTACAAACATCATCTCCAATCCTTACAACAGCTCTGTGCCTGGGTTCCATTATTTCCATCTCACAAATGAGGGCACCAAGGCTCAGAAGGTCAGGGAGCCTGCCCAGGACTGTACAGTAGCACGTGCTGAAGTCCATCTAACATCGAAAACCTTGCCCTTCATCGAGAAGGACACTTGCGATGAGCACTGGGTGTTGTATGGAAGTCAATTTGACAATAAATTATATTAAGAAAGAAAAAGAAAAGAAAGGAAGGAAGGAAGGAAGGAAGGAAGGAAGGAAGGAAGGAAGAAACCTTTGCCCTTTAACTGTGCCCCACAGGGATGGGTGAGATTGTGGACCCAGTTCTGACCAACACCCTTGCCTGTCTCTACAGCCTCAATGTACTCGGAGATCCAGAGGGAGCGGGCAGACATCGGGGGCCTGATGGCCCGGCCCGAGTACAGGGAGTGGAGCCCAGAGCTCATCAAGCCCAAAAAGCTGCTGAACCCTGTGAAGGCGTCCCGGAGCCACCAGGAGCTGCACCGGGAGCTGCTCATGAACCACAGAAGGTGGGACAGAGCTCGGCTGCCTCAGCCTGGCAAGCATGTCCTCAAGCCCCATGTGCTGGGGCTTGAGGAGGTGCCCCCTGTGGAAGGCACGGCTGATGCTCGGGCTGGGTCTCCTAGAGGCTGAGGAGGGTGGAGGGTACCCCACAGAGTCACTGCAGACACCGTGAAGTTCTAGTCCCCAGTGGCCCCCCAATGCTCTGCTTTCCCTCCCAGCTACCCACTGCATGCCTGCCCTCCACATTTATTGAACGCCTACTATGTGCCAGACGCTGTGCCCAGACGTGGGGTACAAGGGGGGACTGGGCCCAGTTCCCACCTTCATGGTGGGGATGGATGCATGACCAGCTGGTGTGATGGGGGCATGAATGGGCCGGGAACCTCAGGGGAGGCAGCTGGGAGTGGTCCAAGGCGACCTCACGGAGGAGAGGATGCCTCAGCTAAAGCCTGAAGGGCTGTAGGAGGCGGGAGTCTGCTAGTGGAAGGGCGTATGTTCCTAGCAAAGGGAAGAGCATGTGCAGATAGACAGGAAACACAAGTAGCTCAGGGAGCGTGGAGTAGATTTTGAGGTCGACCAGAGATGTGTTGACCTGGAAAGGGTCTCAAGCAGGAGCGCCACAAGCACAGAAGGGGCATGAGTGGAGCAGGGAGGCCGGGGATGCAGTGAAAAAGACAGAATTGCAGACACAGCTCTGCAGGGCCGGGAGGGACTCCGTAATTGAGGGAATGTGAAGGCGGCCTGGGAAATACCTCCCAGCTCACCAGCACCAGGAGGAAGGCAGCAGCATCTCTACAGCTCCCTCTACCGGCCTGTTCTGGTATTGGCTCGGGCTATGATTTTCATCCTATTTACAGCTAGCTGTGTGCAAGACCTCATAGCAGGTATCATTTTGTATCCTCGGTGGATTCTTTTTTCCTGCTTAGTATATCATGTGCATTTCCTCCAAATGTTTTTTTAGAGTCATCCCTTTTAATGTCAAAAAACACCGCCACAATTCTTTTAAAAGCCTAAAGATAAATCAAGGAAATGCTTGCAATATAAATACAAACAAAAAATTAATATATACATATCACTTATAAATCCATAAGGAAAAAATGAACAAAATATAGGTATAGTTAGTTCACAAAACAACTAATAACCGGAGAAACACAAATGAAAACCAGATATTATTTCTTGCCTACCAGATTCTCAAATACACAAAGACTGGATGGTGACGGTGGGGAGAAATAGATGCTCTTGTACACTGATGAGGGAGTACAAATTGAATAACCTTTCCTAAGAGGCAGATGGAAATGTGTATCCAAAATCTTTTTAGGGGCGCCTGGGTGGCTCAGTCGGTTAAGCGTCCGACTTTGGCTCAGGTCATGATCTCACGGTTTGTGGGTTCGAGCCCCGCGTCGGGCTCTGTGCTGACTGCCAGCTCAGAGCCTGGAGCCTGTTTCAGATTCTGTGTCTCCCTCTCTCTCTGGCCCTCCCCTGCTCATGCTGCCTCTCTCTCTCAGAAATAAATAAAAACATTTAAAAAATTAAAAACAAAAAAACCAAACTCTTTTTAAAAAGTCTGACCAAGCAATTCCACCTCTAGAAACTTATCCTGAGAACATAACCAGAAGTAACATAAAACTTGGTCTCTGCAGTCAGACAGGCCTGGGTGCAAATCATCATTCTGCCCCTTGGGGGCTGTGACTTGGACAGGTGTCTTAAGTCCTAGGAGCCTCGTCTCCCATCTCTGTATAATGGGACAGGAATAGCTCTGTCTCCCGGGCGACCAGGAGGGTATAGGTTGGTGTCACTAGGGGCTGCAGCCCTGAGACTTGGGGGAGTTGAGGTCTCCTGACAGCTCCCCTGCTCCACACCAGGGGCCTGGGCGTGGACAGCAAGCCGGAGCTTCAGCGAGTCCTGGAGCACCGCAGACGGAACCAGCTCATCAAGAAGAAGAAGGAAGAGCTGGAAGCCAAGCGGCTGCAGTGCCCCTTTGAGCAGGAGCTGCTGAGACGGCAGCAGAGGCTGAACCAGGTGGGTGGGGAGCGCCCAGCCCCGACCCAAGTCTTCTGTAAGACTGTCTCCTGGCCCAGGGAGAAGGTCTGCATGTGGCCGCTGCTGGTGAAAGGGAGGAAATGAAGCAAAATGAGGGCTAAGCCAGCAGTCCACGGCTGGCCTGAGTCCTCACTCTGCCATGCACTTTGCTGTGTGACTTTGAGCCAGTGGCTTCCCTTCTCTGAACCTCAGTTTCCTGACCAGCCCAATCCAGTGCATGCAGATCCTGATTTCATTCTCACACCTGCCCGCCATCCAGGTGGCATTCCCGGTTTAGAGATGAGCAACCAAAGGCCCAGCTGAGGCAAACGATTTGCACTGGCTTCACAGGGAGAACGCAGTCTCATGCTCTGTTGCCCCAACTCCTAGGCTGGTGCCAGGACTGATCCCCGGCTCTGTTTCCCCAGAGAGGATCCTTGGCCAAAACACTGGTTTTGGGGAACAGGAACTCCCCTAGCCCCACTCACTTCACACCTCTGCTTCTTCTCTCCCTCAGCTGGAAAAACCACCAGAAAAGGAAGAGGAACACCCCCCCGAATTTATCAAAGTCAGGGAAAACCTGCGGAGAATCACCACGCTGACCAGTGAAGAGAGGGCGCTGTAGGGCAGGCCGTTGAAGCTCCAGCCCACACAGCCCACCGCCGGCCCCCACACCCTCCTCCAGCCCTTCTGTATCTGGCAGCCCTGGGCCCCGGCCTGGGGACCTCTGTGATGTTCATGCTTGCTCTCGTAAAAATGCCCCAGAGGGCCTGGGCCCTCCTTCCCACCCACCAAAAGCTGGGGGGGCCCTAAGTTCCCAGGCTTTTCCTTCTGAGCACTCACGGCTTCTGCTCCCAAAGGAAGCTGCTTCCAGGAAAACTTTCCCAAGGCACTTCTCCCTGCAGGGGCTCCTGAGCTCTAGTGAGATCTTTCTGGCAGAATGGAATAAGGAGAGACAGGCACCTCTTTGGCCTGACCAGCCCTCCATTTTACCCGGGCCCCATGGGGCCCTGCTTCTCTGGGCAGCCCAGCTCCCAGGTCTCAGAGAACGTCCTTGACTGTGGTGTTACCTGCAGCCAGGTGTGGGGCAGCTAAGCAGAGCATCTCAGAACACCTGCCTTGAAAGCCAGCGGAGGGGAATATGGTTCAAGTGCAGCTGCCCTCGGTGATGAAGGGCAGGGTGCCCCACAAGGCGGCCGTGGGGCTCAGGTCATGCCAGGTTGCAAGACGACTAACCAGGTCGGCTTCTTAGAGTGTGCCAGCTTCCCACGCACCCACGCTTTTGCTGTCTCCTCTGCACAGCCTCCCTGCCTGGGCCTTGTAACCACATCTAACCAGGGCTGCAGCCTTCCGGCTCCCAGAAGTCTAGAACAGTGCTTCTCAAACTTTATTGTGCCTACGAGTCACTGGGGACCTTGTTACAATATGGCTTCTGACTCTGTAGATCTGGGGTGGGGGCTGGGATTCTGCGGCTCTCAGGAGCTCCCGGCTGCTGGTCTGAGGACCACCCTGTAAGCAGCCAGGCTCGAGCAGCCAGGGGCTGGTATATATCGGAAACACCATCCCTGAAGCCACTCCGGCCCCCCAGTTGCCATGAACCTTTGCCCTGGGGGTTCCCTACCCTGCCTGTGGAACCCCAAGGGCTCTCTATCACCCACCCCATTCCAGGGACCCCAAGCCTGGGAAGACATTTGCCTAGCAAATCGTGTCACTTGTAGAACTGTCGTCACTGGAGATGTATATAATTGCCAATCTGCATTTTCTTACCATGTTGTTTTGATGTAATTCTGGCCAAAAAAGAAAGAAAGAAAGAAAAAGATAGTTTCTGTTTTACCTTTTCCTGAAGCCTATGGAGAGCAGATATGCAGTGATTTCCAGTGGGCTTCTGGAAATACAAACAGTGAAGGCCCCACCGCTACCCTTATAGACGGGCTCCTTTGAGCCCCCATTTCCAGCCTCTGCACCCCCTCTCTACTGGGTCTCTACCCTCAGGCCAGCTTCGGTGAACTCACCCGTTCTTCCTCAAAAATCCCTCCCCACACGAGACGAATGTTTTACCCTTTGCTTCTATCCCATTCTGAAGGATTCTGAGAATAAACCAGGCCTGCTTTCCCCGTGAAGAATAAAATCCCTGCCTCTGGCATTGCAGACCCATCATTTAAGGTGTCAGGCCAGGGCTAAAAAGGCATTTCCTTTCACCCCCCCAAAACTGCCCGAAAAAGCTGCCGCGGAAATGCTATTTCATTCTCGGACCAAAAGTGGGACGTTCAGGCGGAAAGGGGTCATCCTGGTCTCACTCCTACCTGAGCAGTTTGAGGATGACCAGAGACGAGGCCCTCTTCCGGGACCGGGGCGGGTGTACAAATACAGCCGTGCACGTGCTGCCTGCCTGTGTGTGTGTGTGTGTGTGTGCAAGCGGGGCTTTAAAAGGCTCTTGAATGTGTCTTAGCGAGAACGTGCTGACGCTATTTTAGATGCCTGCCAGGTGAGAGCGATGCTGAAGCAAAATCTCCAAATAAAGACCCCCATTTCCTCCGAAGAAGCCTCCCCCAGCAGTCTGCGTGCCGTTCAGACATATGAAGAGAAGACAGAGCATCTAGGGTGGGGTAGGCCCTCCCGGAGAATGCTAGAATTCTCTCAGTGGTCCCTAGAGGTGCTGCACAGAGACGAAGCCCCAGAAGTCGAATGACCCCAGCACCGCGTCATCCCGTGGAGCCACAGCAGACACCCACGTACACTCCCCAGTGGTCAGTCCCACCCCCTTCCCTCTAGCGGCCTCCCACTGTAGAGGATGTAAATCCCGATTCCCACTGTTCCAGCCTCCTTTGCAGCTTGGGGTGACATGTGACCAGGTGAGCCAATGACATTTAAGAGGAAGTCTACAGGGGCTTCTGGGAAAGCTTCTGCTTCCCTGATAGAAGAGGCAGACATGGGTAACACCTCCCTGCCCCTCCATTCTTCCTGCCTTGATTGAGGATGTGATGCCTGGAGCCACGACAGCCATCTTGCGACAACGAGAGAAAGGTCAAGAGACTCCCGGAGACACTGACTCTATCACATTTGACCAAGCCAATGCTAGCAGCCATCCTCCTCCAGAATTCTTGTAAATAAAAAGAAAACTCGCTTTGTTTAAGCCATTGTTGGTCAGTATCTGTTACTTGCAGCCAGAATATTCCTGACACAGAAGGCCAGCCCCAACGCCCAGCAGACTGTACTAAAAATCCAGATTCCTCTTTCCCACTAGAAACCAACTAGATTAGGAACTCCAGCAGCAATCCATGCCTGAGGTCTGTTTCTCTGTGTCTTCTCCACATAGCCCGCGCACCATACGGGCATCATTAATCCACACATCATTCAGTAAGGACTTGCTGAGCCTGTTCTGTGCCAGGGGCACAGTGGGAAACAAAATGTTTGGATTATTGCAGTGGCCTCCTCCTTACTGGTCTCCCTGCTTCTGCCCTTCCCCCTACAGCCTCATCTCGAGAGAGCAACCAGAATGATTTCGTTAAAATCTAAGGCAGGTCTTGCCACGCCTCTGCACAGAGCCCTCTCTCTGCCCCCATTAGGGTCCTTCCTGCCACTCGGAAGGCCCCGCCTGTCCAGCTCCTCACGGCCTCTGATCTACTTCCCTCTGCCCTTCCCCTTCCTCCTGCAGCCCTTGGTCAGCCTTGCCTCCACATGCCACCACCAACCACCGCAGTGCCTTTTCACCTCTGTTCTCCAGCCAGGAGTGTTCTTTCCTCAGAGAGCCATACGGTCTTCTCCCTCACTGTCTTCAGGTCTTGCCTTTTTTTTTTTTTTTTTTTTAATGCTCTTTCTCAATGAGGTCCTCCTTGGTCAAACCATTTGAATCTCAAAATTCCCTACACGCCCCCTATCCCTTCCTTCCCTGCCTTCGTTTTCCTCCTCACCGTTGTCCCCATCAAACACATATTTTACCTGTTTGTCTTGTATGTCTCCTAGCGATAATGTCAGCTCCGTGAGGGCAGAGATTTTTTTCTGTCTTGTTTACTGCTGAATCCCAAATGGCCACCCTTACTCCTCTTTCCCTGACAGAGGTGGCCCGGCCGGTGCCAGTGTGGCAGAATGGCACATTCAAGAATGTGCCACAGACAAGAATCCAGCCCCATCCCACTTACGACTTCGAGAAAAAGCCATGACCAAATAGGGCATGGGGTGGGGCTCCTGGGTGGCTCAGTCGATTAAGCATCCAACTCTTGATTTCAGCTCAAGTCATGACCTCACAGTTCAGTTTGTGAGTTCAAGCCCTGTGTCAGACTCTGCACTGATAGAGCCTGCTTGAGATTCCCTCTCTCTCTCTGCCCCTCTCCTGCTCGTGCTTGTGCTCTCTCTCAAAATAAACAAACAATAAAAAGAAAACAGGGCGTGGGGCATAGGGCACAGAGTAGATGCTCAATAAATGCTTGTTGAATGAATGAATAAGTGAGAAACCCTTCTCCTGCTGTGATACATCCAGCTTCCTCCCAGGTTCAACAGCTCCCCCCCTCCCCCACCCCCACCACCTGCCTCCTTCCTCCCCAGTTCTGACCCTGACCCAGAGGTGTCAGTTTGGTCCAGAAGCTTTCCTTTGGCCTCTGAGGCTTTTGCCAGCACCCTTGGGCCTTACTGGCATTAGCACCTAAAAGAGCAACACCGGAGCTTTGTGGCCTGGACACACCCCTCTCTGGGCGTCCAGAGAGTTAGATCATCCCTGAAGGCAGGGATCGGGTCATCACCCAGTCCTGGGAACCCCGGAGAAGGAAAGGGCTGCTGCAGTAGCTCTGTCACCAGACCCTGCCCTAAATGGAGAGCGAGAGCAGCAAACCCGTTCTCACTGGAGGCCACCCTCTCTCACGCCCACTAGAGCACAAGTCTCGGTCTGGGTTTGGAGCGAGCCCTCTTCAATGGCAGACCAGGGCTAAATACACAACCTGGAAGACAGACAGAAGACTTCAGGAGGTGAAGGGACCCTCCTTCCCTGATTCTGCAGTATGTACTCCAGGGGAGCGCTTGGAACCCAGGCGCTTTCTGTGGGCAGCCTCACCACACTTGAGGTTATATTAATTCTAAGCTCCATGGGGACAGGACCCTGTCTGATTATGCCTACCTTTACCAGTACCAACCCAGGTATTCAAAGAGTTGTGAATGCTGGGGCACCTGGGTGGCTCATTGGGTTAAGTGACCACCTCTTGACTTCAGCTCAGGTCATGATCTCACAGTTAGTGGGTTCTAGTCCCACGTCAGGCTCTGCGCTGACAGCTCAGAGCCTGGAGCCTGCTTTGGATTCTGTGCCTCCTTCTCTCTCTGCCCATGCCCCACTCAAACTCTGTTTCTCTCTGTCTCAAAAATAAATAAAAACATTAAAAAAAAGAATTCATAGAGAGATGAGCAGGATTTCCCAGTGAATGACTCTGACAAGTCCCCTGGGCTGTCTGGCAACAGCTAAGTGAGCTGGGGTTCCCCCTCCGAGGATGGGCTCAGGCTTGCCGTGTAAGGGTGAGTTCTGTGCCCAGACCTGTCTTCAAGCCCCAGCTCCAAAAATCCCTACTTGTCACAAGCCTGGACAACTTGCTGGATGACTCTTTCCAGATCTGTGACATAAGTAATGATACCTACACTTGAATATTCAGTGTCTGTGCCAGGGACTGGGCTATTACCTCCATCATACAGGTGAAGAATCCCACAGTTTAGAGAGGCAAAGCCACTTCCCAAAGCTGCACAATCAGCAGGTGGTAGAAGCAAGGTGTGAACCCGCGTCTGCCTGACCGGAGCCTGCACATTTATCCTGGCAGCACTTGCTGGTGGAGGCTGCAGAGGATGTTTTGCAAAGCACCCACGTTCAAGTTTTCCCATATGTCGCTAGAAACATTCTGTGAGCATGCTGAGGCCCCGCGGCCTGCCTCCTTCTCCTCCCCTGACAGCCTGCAGCAATCTGGCCGACAGGGCCCCAGGGACAAAAATGCGGGCATATCCCACTCACAGCTCGGAGAAGAGACAGTGGCCAATGGGATACAGGGGTTCACGTGCCTGCCCTTGGCCCAAGGAGTTCAGTGAAGGAGCAGGAAAGAGAGCAACATGCATTGAGCCATATACCTGGCAGGTCCTAAAATGTGAGAGACCAGACACAAAGCACCTTGCCCAGGGCCTGGCTCATTTCAAGGGATGGAAGTTTCTTCTTCCTCTCGCTCACTCTCCCCTTTAAGGATATCTTAACAGGTGGCTGGTTAGGAGTCCAGGCTACAAAGTCAGACTTCAAATTGGCGGGTGGGAGATCCAGCTCTGCCACTTGCCAGATCGGTGACTTTGGACAAGTCATTTAACGTCTTTGACTTTCTTGTCTGTCAAATGAGGGTCCCAATAGTGCCAGCCTCATGGGTAATTGACAAGACTGGGTTAACAGATATAGAATGTTTGGAGGGGCACCTGGCTGGCTCAGTCGGTAGAGCATGTGACTCTTTATCTTGGGGTCATGAGTTCGAGCCCCACATTGAGTGCAGAGATTACTAAATGAATGAATGAATAAACAAATAAATATATACATTTAAAAAAAAATGTTTGACAAGCACAGGCACGTGGCCAGTACTCATTTTCATCTTCCATTTCCCTGCTGGTTTATTTCATCATATCTGTCACTGAGCTTCAAGTCATGTTTTCACTCATTTATTTCTCTTAGTGCCTCAGTGTGTCTAGCACTCACCCCTCCCTTGGGGCTGGCCACCCCAAGTGCCCTCGCCTTCTCCCAGTCCCCTCCTTTTTGGGGAGGTGTCACCCCAGACCTTCTCGCATCCCAGTCCAAATTGAAGGACATTCTAAGAAAAGACCTGACCAGTACACATCAAATGTCAAGGTCATAGAGGACAAAGATTGAGAAGCTGTACCAGTTGGAGAAGATAGGACAATTAAAGGCAATGACAGATCCTGGACTGGATCCTGAACCAGAAAAAGGACATTAGTGGGAAAAGTGGCAAAACTCAATGTGCAGTAAATGGCTAACTCAGCAGGATTTCAAAGCCTGCATGCCAAAGAAGGGACTGGCCCTTCACAGCCCCTGCAAGATAAGCTCTAAGCTCTTGGAATAGCCTCTCTGAACAGAGTGTGCCTGCCTACCCGGGCCTTGGGTCTGCCAGGCAGTTGACACTAAAACATGCCAATGGGACTATGACACTCTGTGTCAGTTTGACCTCTGGAGGGCTAGGTGCTAAGAGACTGAGGTACTAAGTAGCTAAGTGACTGAGTAACCAGCATCCCATTTCTCTGTGACCGATGTTACATAACCATGGACATCAAGTCTGAGATGAGCTTCCCTGGCTATCAGTCTTTCTTGTGTGCTGTCATGCAGGGAGAATTAAACACTGTCCCTACAACACCACTGGGAGAGGACAGCTGGGACCTCATGTCTGGTCCCCCTGGATTCTACCCTGTATTATTATTTTTCCTTTGCTGATTTTAATCTGTATCATTTTGCTGCACTAAGCCATGACCATGAGTATAACAGCTTTTCTGAGTTCTGAGAGTCCTTGCAAAGCCTTCAACTTGAGATTGATCTTGGGGGCCCTCCAACATACTCAAATAAAATTTGAAGATTAGTTAATACTATTGGATCAGTGTTAATTTATTGGGCCCCACAAGGACATTATGTATAGTTAAGGAGGCTGAGGGGAAGTTATATGGAAACTACTATTTTTTTGCAACTTTCTGAAACTCTAAAGTTATTTCTTTTTTAAAAAAGATTTTAAGTTTACTTATTTGGAGAGAGAGTGCAAGAGGGGTAGGGGCAGCGAGAGAAGGAACAGAGAGAATCCTAAGCAGGCTCCACGCTATCAGTGCAGAGCCTGATGCAGGGTTCAAACTCACAAACTGTGAGATCATGACCCAAACTGAAATCAAGAGTTGGACGCTTAACCAAATGAGCCACCCAGGCACCCCTAAAGTTATTTCAAAATAAAACATTACAACACAAAGAAGAGGGAAAGATGAGATGATAATTGTTAAATCTGGGTGTTAGGTACATATGGATTCATTATATTGTTCTCTCTACTTTTATATGGGCTTGAAATTTTTCAAAATAAAATTTTTTAGCTAGAAGGAATTTACCCAAGGGATACAGAAATGCTGAGGCATAGGAGCACATGTACCCCAATGTTCATAGCAGCACTCTCCACAATAGCTAAAACATGGAAAGAGCCTAAGTGTCCATCAACAGATGAATGGATCAAGAAGATGTGGTTTATCTATACCATGGAATACTACATGGCAATGAGAAACAATGAAATCTGGCCATGTGTAGCAACATGGATGGACCTTGAGGGTGTTATGCTGAGCGAAATAAGTCAGGCAGAGAAGGACAAATATCATATGTTTGCACGTATAGGAGGATTAGGAGGAACTTGACGGAGGACCAAGGGGGAGAAGAAGCACGGAAATGGTGGGGGAAAGGGAGAGAGGCAAACCATGAGAGACTCTTGAATGCTGACAAAAACTGAGGACTGATGGATGTGGGAGGGAGGGGGGGTGGGCATGGAGGAGGGCACTTTGGGGATGAGCACTGAGTGTTATGTGGAAACTAATCTGACAATAAACTATTTGTAAAAAAAAAAAAAAAAAAAAATTTTTAGCTAGAGAATTGAATAGTTTGGTGCAACAGATTAAAATAATCACATCCTGGGGCCCCTGGGTGGCCTAGTTGGTTAAGCACCAGACTCTTGAGTTCAGCTCAGGTAATGATCTCACATTTTATGAGTTCAAGCCCTGCCTGGAGCACTGCTTCAAGCCCCAAGCTGGGCTCCTCCCTGCTGACAGCACACAGCCTGCTTGGGATTCTGGCCCCATCTCTCTCTGCCCCTCTCCAGCTTGCTGTGCGCTCTCCTTCTCTCAAAATAAAGCAATAAACTTTAGGGGCGCCTTGGTGGCTCAGTCAGTTGGGCGTCTGACTTCAGCTCGCATCATGATCTCATGGTTGGTGGGTTCGAGCCCCATGTCGGGCTCTGTGCTGACAGCTAGCTCAGAGCCTGGGGCCTGTTTCAGAATCTGTATCTCCCTCTCTCTCTGACCCTCCCCTGCTGATGCTGTCTCTCTCTCTCTCTCTCTCTCTCTCTCAGAAATAAATAAAACATTAAAAAAAATTTTTAAAAAAGAAAAAAATTTTTAAAAAAAGAAGAAACAAACTTTAAAAAATAAAATAAAATAGTCACAACCAAAACATTTAGAGTAGGGTCAGCTCCAAGGTTGATAAAGAAACCATTTAAACATGGACTTTGTCAAATACTAAAAGAACATCAAGTTCAATCAAAACAATCAAGATGTGGAAACCATGGCCAAGAAAAATTAAGTAACTGCCCAGGAGAAGAGGCATTCCAGGGGCACCTGGGTGTTTCAGTCAGTTAAGTTTCCAAACATTGATTTCAGGTCATAATCTCACTGTTTACGTCGGCGCAAAGTTTGCTTGAGATTCTCTCTCTCCCTCTTTCTGTCCCTCCTGTCTCTCAAATATAAACATTAAAGAAAAAAAAACAAAGAGCCAGCACAAGTCCTTGGCAGAGGTCAGTTCGGGACCCAGAACTTTCCCCTCCAAATAGTAGGGTCAGGGCGACTTTCCCTGGAGCCACGTCATGTGTAAGGCCACTGCTGACAGCACCGGGGAATCCCAGGTCCAGATGTGCTGAGTCACATCTCAAAGCTCGGGGCCTGTCTCTTCCTCAAGACACAAGCTTGACACCACTTTGAGGACATAGTGGGGAGGTCTGAGGCCCCTCAGAGAGCACACCACAGATGGGGAGGCCACAGATCCAGGAGCAGAGGGCACCTGTCCAGAGTCACCGCACCTCTGGAGTCCTGCCAGGAAAGGTGTTCAGGTCTCCTGACTTCTTTCTCAACCTTGTGCAAATATAAAGAGCCAGAAACCTGGTCAAAATTCCAGTTCTGCATTATACTTCTTGTGCAAACCTGGTCAAATGATAACACATCTCTGGTCTTCTTTCCACTTCTGCAAAATGAAGAAAGACATTTCCAGGGCTGTCTATGCAGTGGAGGTGAGGGAACCTGTAAACATCCCATCCCACTCACAGGCACCTGGCCAAAGCTCCAAAAATATTTGTTCAGGGAATGATGGTCAGAAGTGTATGAATCCTAATGCTAAGCATCAGACAAGCTGAATTCTAGAGCAGAAACGTAGAGAACGAGAAAAATCATTCGCCTTGCAGAGCAACCCTTTCATAGAAGGACCACCTGTGGAAGCCTTGTACGCTCCTTGGATATTAACAACTTGAGCTGACTTTCCTGTTAAGATCAGGAAAGGCTGCAGAAAGACCAGGATCACCTTGGAAACCCAGCCGGGTACACAGCTTTTTGGTACAAGTAGTCCCAGCGGAATCCCCAGCTTTGAGATTGGAGGGCTGGGTCTCATGTCAAGGTATACAAGTGTGTACAACTAGGGTGGTCACACACGCACGTACACACACATGCGTGCACACACAGAGACTTCCACCTTTAAAAAAGTAAATGCCAAACCTCCAAAGTCCTTCACTAAGTTTGGCCGTGCTCTTAGGGTAGAGAATCTGGATGGCTTCTGTGAACTTTTGTTTATTCATTCATCCACCAAATATTTGCTGAGCACCTACCCTGGGCCAGATCCTGGTCTGGGTCCCTGGGGCTGGGACTGTATTGGTGGCCAAGAACAACGCAGTGCTTGCTTTCATTCATGATTTATACAAAACCCAACAGCTAAAGACAAAATACCTACCACGGTAGTGGGTGTACCAAGGGTGTGGTGGTAACACCAGTGTGTGGTTTTTCTTTTTTTTTTTTTTTTAATGTTTTATTTATTTCTAGGAGAGAGAGAGAGAGACAGCGTGAGCAGGGGAGGGTCAGAGAGAGAGGGAGTCACAGACTGAAACAGGCTCCAGGCTCTAGGCTCTGAGCTGGCAGTCAGCACAGAGCCCGACGCGGGGCTCGAACCCATGAACCGCGAGATCATGACCCGAGCGAAAGTCGGACGCTTAACCAACTACGCCACCTGGGCGCCCCAAGTGTGTGGTTTTTCTATACCAACAACCAATTCTGCAACACCAATTGTGTGTTCAACAATTCAGTTCAATTCTGACACCAACTCCTGGGGTTGGTGTAGACCCCACAGGTTTAAGGGTCAGTCCCACAATACTGCCCCCACTTTAGACAACAAGTGCTAAGCCCACGGGCTCCCTGTTCTTCGGACCTGCTGCCTATAAATTCAGGCGTTCCCACAAGTCATCCCACAAGTTCAGTAATTTGCTAGAATGATTCACAGAACTCAGAGGAGGACTTTACTTATATTTATTGGTTGGTTATAAAGGATACAACTTGGGCAGAGCCTACTGGGAAGGGATGCAGGGGACAAGGGTTTGGAGAGGAGGCAGCACGGACTTCCTGGGCCACCTCTCAACACCTCCATGGTCACCAACTGTCCCCAGACCCTGTTGTTTAGGGGTTTTTACCAAGGTTTCATCACACAGGCGTGATTGATTAAATCATTGGCTGCTGGCTATGGGCTCAATCTGCAGCCTCTCTCCCCTCCCTGGAGGTCGGGTGGGGAGGGTGTGCTGGGGAGGACTAAAAATCCCAAGGCTGTAATGTTAAGATTTGCTCGTTCCAGCAACCAGGCCCCACCCTGAAGCTACCTATGGACCCCCGGCCATAGGTACAAAAGATAGTCCTTATCACTCCGGAGACTGCAAGGGTTTTGGGAGGCTCTGTGCCATGAGCTGGGGACACAGATTGATCATATATATATGATACGACAAAGGCCCAAAACTTGGAGCTGAGAAAGCAGGTCTGGGAACAGGGTGGTGAGAGGAGCCGGACAGGTAGCGTCTCCGGAAGAGGCCTGGGAAACAGCAGGAGGAGGAAGAAAGAGCAGAACAGTTTTAAGTTAAAAAAAAGTTAGAAATTCATTAGAAGTGATGGTGTGTGTCCCATGGAGGTTTTCCTGCTCATTCCTATTGTGATTACTGTGTCCCCAACAGCCCCCCAGTCGCAGCCTGGATGCTTCCACAAGGTCAGGGGGTGGGTACAAGTTTGCTTTCTTTTGTTTTTGCTGCCTGCTGTCTTCCAGTGCTTAGATCAACTGTGAGCACTTAAAAAGGATGTCTGGGGAATAAATCGACTCAGTGCTTCTGGTAGAACCCAAGCGCTCACATGCCCGCCGATGGATATCTCACCAGCAGATTGCCAGCGAGTCAGAAATTCCACCATTAAATGTCACTCCTGGAAATTAAGAAATTCTCTCCTGGGAAACCAAGGAAGTAGTAATAGTCTCAAGTTACAAATCCTTGGTGCTTCACAGTTTACCAAGAGCTTTCTTTCCTTTATACCCTGTGAATTATAGACAAGGGAAGGGAAGCTCAGAGAGGTGAAGTAACCCAGAGTCACATCTCCAGGATTTGAACCCAGGCCTCTGGACTCCAGGGGAGGGTGGTGGTGTTTCCTTGCGCGGAGTGCAAGGGTACGCATGTTCCTGGGATGGCTCTGGCACACAGGGCCAGACAGGTAGAGAGAGAAAGACAGAGATGAGGCTCAGTGGCTGATACTCGATGGAGAACGCCCCACCCTCCCACCCCGCCCGGGCACCTCTGGCCCCTGTAGAGTGTGCTCAAACCCACTTGAGGAAGACAGAGGTGCAGGGGAGAAACTTGAGCTCAGCAACAGAGCGTGGGCAGCCTGCCAAGTGCTGCCTTCAGTATTTCCTGCTCCAGCTCATCATAGGGGAGGAGACAGGGGCTGGGCCACCGCAGAAAACCTAGGCCTGCAGTGAGAGAGTCCAGGCCAGGCCTACAGGACAGACACAGAACACAGGTGAGTCAGGCAGAGGGACAGGGGAGGGACTGGCAGTTCCCCGGGAGTACTAGACCCCCTGAGTAACGACCCTTCCCATGCTCCTAATGACTCTGAGCACTGCTTTCTTTCATTTCAACCCCTATTTCCTAGACCCTGCCTGTGGGCCAGGCCCTGTGCTATTAGGGAAATGGCCCCTGCCCCCTTGGAGTTGACCCTAGAACATAGGGTCCTAGAACAAGAACATAAGTGAGCAAATGAGCTTGTATGTTACGAGAAAAAGTAGAGCAGGGAGAGGAGGCTTGGGATTTTAAAGAGGGCAGTCAGATGGAGCCCACTGAGAAGGTGATATTGAGCCAAGACTCGAAGGACGTAATGAGGGAATCAAGAGGACATCTGTGGAAAGAGTGTTCTAGAAGAAGAGTGTTTCAGGCAGAGGACACAGCCTGGCAGAGGCTGGGTTTGGGGAGGCCGCGGTGTCCAAGCACAGCAAAAAGACAGCAGCTGTTAGGGTGTGGAGCAGGAAGACAGGAGACCAGCGAGGCAGCCTTGCAGGGGTCCCGGGGGGGGGGGGGGGGGAGGAGCGGGGGGGCAGATGATAGGGGTTCCTTGACCCTACTGGGCCCCCTGTCAGCGCCCCTGTGACCCTGACTAGTGGAGTGTTGATTTGGAAGGCTGCATTCGAATCTCACTTGCTGTATGTGCTGGGTGACCTTGCAGAGTCTCCTTCCTTCCCTTCCTGACCTGTCTGTAAAATGGTAAAAACTTATAGCTTATCTGTAGGGTTGTGGTGAAGAAGAAAGGGAATCAAAATAGTGGCTGCCTACAGGGAAGAGCAGTTCGAGTTACAGCAGGCCACAGGAGAGCTGAGCTCGTGGGATCCAGTGGTCACCTAGGCACTCCCTGCCTTTGGAGGGGGACATTCAAGTAAATGACCCATATTGTCTACTCTAATAGCACCGGGCGGGGGGGCGGGGGGAGGCAGCAAAGGGGCACTCAGTTCTTCGAGGGGGTGCCGCTGTCATCAGAAGCTTTCTTAGAGGAAGTGTCCCTGAAGGCTGGGTCTCATCAGGAACACCAGGGCTAGGGCGCCTGGGTGGCTCAGTCCGCGTAAGCCACTAACTTTGGCTCAGGTCATGATCTCAAGGTTCAGTTCCAGTTCGTGAGTTTGAGGCCCCCATCAGGCTCTGTGCTGACAGCTCAGAGCCTGGAGCTTGATTCAAATTCTTTATCTCCCTCTTTCTCTGCCCCTCTTCTGCTCACACTCTGTCAACCTCTCTCTCAAAAATAAATAAACATTAAAAATTATTTTTAAAAAAAGAAAGAAAAAGAAAAACATTAAAAAAAAAAAAAGGGGGGGGGCACCTGGGTGGCTTAGTCGGTTAAGCGTCCGACTTTCGCTTAGGTCATGATCTCGCGGTTCGTGGGTTCGAGCCCCGCGTCGGGCTCTGTGCTGACTGCCGGCTCGGGGCCCGGAGCCTGTTTCAGAGTCTGTGACTCCCTCTCTCTCTGACCCTCCCCTGCTCACGCTGTCTCTCTCTCTCTCTCCTAGAAATAAATAAAAAACATTAAAAAAATTTTTTTTTAATAAATTAGAAAAAAATGAAAAAAGAAAGAAAAAGAAAAAGTCCTTTTAAAAAAAAACAAAAAGAACACCGGGGGAAATAGCAGAGGCATAGGGCCGGGCGGGGGGGGGGGGGGGGGGGGGGGGGGGGGGGGGGGGGGGGGGGCCGCACCGAGCGCGGGAGCAGGCTGAAACAGGACAAGGGGCGGGCACAGGGGGCGCAGACCCTCTTCCACAAACAGTGGACACCAAGGGCCAAATTCCAAGCAGGGCAGGGACACAACACGCCTGCAGTTTGGGAGCTCAGCCTGGCAGCCAGGAGAACAGGGAGTCAAGACACTGAGGCCAGGCGGGAGATGATGGCGGCCGGGGACATAGACATGGGGATGGCACAAGTGGACCTGAGAGACCTCAGAAGCGGAATGGACCACAGCTGGTGGTCGCCCTGCAGTGGGGTAAGAGGGGCTGCTGAGAGTCTGAGGCTTTGCCACGAAGAATAGAGGTTCATCCTGGCTGTGGGGGGTGCACAGGGGTCCCCTGGGAACTCTTCCCAGGCCAGAAGCAAGCTTCCTCCCCTCAAGCTCCCCGGTACTCAGGGCTCACAGAAATGGGCCAAACGAGCCCAGGACTTACGGGACCACAGGTCCCTCCCTACTGTGAGCCCCCTTGGCAGGGCCACAGCACGGCCAGAGCATGTGTTTTGTGGTTAGGGCCTATCCAACTCTTAGCCACCGTCCGCTGTGTGGCTAGGGGCCCCACACTGGAGCTCACCAAAATATTTTTTACATGTGTAAACTTAACTGACTTTTTTTTTTTTTTAATATTTTTTTTATTTATTTCTAGGAGAGAGAGAGAGAGACAGCGTGAGCAGGGGAGGGTCAGTGAGAGAGGGAGTCACAGACTGAAACAGAATCCAGGCTCCGAGCTGGCAGTCAGCACAGAGCCCGACGCGGGGCTCGAACCCACGAACCGCGAGATCATGACCTGAGCGAAAGTCGGACGTTTAACCGACTAAGCCACCCAGGCGCCCCTAAACTTAACTGACTTTTTGTGAGAATTCCCCAAGGCGACTCTTGTAACACACCTTGCAGTGGACAGAGCATGAGCTCTGTGGTCAGATCCCACCCAAATCTCGACAAACGGGACCCGAACTACCATTTACTGAGCAATCACTGCATGCGATGCCAACCAAGTGCCCACAGAGAAGAGTGTGGGGCGCTGTGGCGCTCAAATATTTAAGGGGGGAGCTTTCCTACACCAAGCAGCCCCTGACGGACGCTAAGCTCTGGACACTTCCTCCCACATGTGTTCTTAGCACCAAGGCTGAACCGCCACGGCTCGGAGCAGCGAGGCCAGAAGTATCTCTCCTCAGGCACCAGACAGGTCGCAGGTAGGATGAGCAGCCCAATGCACCGAGTGTCCCTGGGGGACACCTGGAGCAGGCAAGTGCACCCCGACATAGAGTGTGAGAGGCACAGACAGTCCTTCAACGTGGAACGGCTCACCAACATCCTTGACAGAGGAGCTGAGAACACTGCACTCCGGAGGAAAGTTGGTAAGAGGAGGCTGGGGATGGAGCATCTGCTTTGTGCCCACATGTTTCTCCTGGAAGAAGAGTCCTTTGCTAGCAGTCCCATCTTCAAGCAACAAACTTTGCTCTCAAAACTCCCACTGTTAGAGATTCATTCCTTTGGGCTCTAAAGACACCTTAAACATGTTCATATTCCCTGAGCCCGCCTGAAGGATAGAAGAGTCCTGGGCAGCAGAAGACCTGGGTGCTGGTCCTTATTCTGCCACTGCAGAGCCTCGTAATCTGAGGCAAGTCACTTTCCCTCCTCGGGTGCTTGGTCATTGTATCTGTCAAATGAAAGGAATGTCTGACTTCCTTTCCACGTGCATGAGGCAGGAGGGTGGGAAGATGTGAAGGTGCCAGGAACCTCACCCAGATCTCTAAGCCCTCTGTTCTTTGTCTCTGGAAGAGAACATCATCCACAGTGACCCAAAATTCAGCCTGAAGGATACTTATTTCATGACCCAGAATGAATGTTATGAGGTCGCCGTTCAGAGGAAATTCCACATCCAGATAATAGCAAAGCGCCTGGGCTGGTCAGAAGACAGTCCTGAACTATATTACGCTTACAGGTACACACTGCTAGGGCAGCCCCACCAGAGAGGAATTTACCTGGGATAACCTGGAAACCCTTAACCCCATGAGAGATTTTCCCCAACTTTAGAGGTGGTGGTTGTTGGGAAAGCAGGATGGCAGAAGGCCCTTCCCTCCTACACCCTGCCAGGCTGACGGTACCGGGGTCCCTGTCTCCAAGGCACTACTCAACCACCGCATCTCTCCCCAACAGAGCCCTTTCTGGAGAAGTGGCCTTAGGTTTACACGGCATCTTCCTGAAAGCCCTCAGGAGCCTGGGCTCAGAGGAGCAGATTGCCAAATGGGCCCCACTCTGCAACAAGTTCCAGATCATCACAACATATGCCCAGACAGAACTGGGCCACGGTGAGCCAGGGCTTCTGACGCCGTGTTCAGGTTGTGCACAATTCCAGAGAGCCCATTCACAGCTCAGTGGTCAGACACTGTACATATTTCCTATGAAAACATCCCAGCAGGTGGCAGGCAAGGGTCTTGAAGGAGGGGGTACCTTTTTCTACTTTACACAAACAGGTTGCATGAGCTAGAGGTGGGGTAAGTCGTTCCTTCTAGAAGTGTCAGCGACCATCCCTTGGCATGGGCTGGCCATGTGTCCCCCTCACAGCCCATGGGTGGAAGAGGAGGAATGCCCGAGGGTACGGCTGGGAGCCCCCCCACTTCAGACTGGGCTGGTGCCTGGCATTCCCAACCTTACCAGGACACTGCTCCCCAGGTGAGAGTCCTACCTGGCCTCATGTCTAACTCCCCTCTTGATTCCAAGGGACATATCTTCAGGGCCTGGAGACTGAAGCCACCTATGATGCAGCCACTCAGGAGTTTGTGGTACACAGCCCCACGATGACTGCCACCAAATGGTGGCCTGGGGACCGTGAGTATCCACCGCCCCCCAGCCCCATCTGTCCCCGAGAAGAACAAAGTTGGACAGCAGAATGGCAATGGCTCTGATTCCAATGGACCTCCAATTGATGCCCTGGTCTAGGCTGGTGACCTTGAGCAAATCAATTCACTTTCTTGAACTGCAGGGTCTCACTTTAAACAGGTGGGATGTGAATAATTTCACCAGTGAGCAGCTGAGAAGCCTCCAAGGGAACTTTGAAGTAGCTGAGGAAACCGACTCAACTTGTGGGGGCTGAGGGCCAAGGTCTCTCTCACGAGCACGCTGTCCCCACACAGACATGCGCCATACGCGCGCACACACATCACAGACACACAGCCTAGTCCCAGGCACTCTCCACAACCCCAGGTCCTCTCGTCGCCTAAGTTAATGATTAGGCTTCCATTTGATCACACAGTGAGAAAAACATCCCTACCGGTTGCTGCTCCGGACACCCAGGAAGGATCAGGTCACCGGCGCACACTGCCCCCGGTGGCCACCAGGTGGCGACCGCACCATGCTTCCCTGAAGCTCTGATTTCCAGAGAGGGGGTTCCACCAAAGCCCTCTACCCCAGATGTGACACCTCTGAGGGCACACCTGTAGCACTTCCAGACCCATTTGATGAATGCTTACAAGGGGGAGAAAACACAATACGAGGAATACAACTAAGCACAAAGAGACAGAGAGGCGAGAGATGAGCAGAGAGAGAGAAAGATTGAGACAGAAAGAGAAGTCCGAGCCTGGGTGGCTTAGTCGGTTAAGCGTCCGACTTTCGCTTTAGGTCATGATCTCACATTTCGTGGGCTCGAGCCCGGCATCGGGCTCTGTGCTGACTGCCAGCTCAGAGCCTGGAGGCTGTTTCAGAGTCTGTCACTCCCTCTCTCACTGACCCTCCCCTCCTCACGCTGTCTCTCTCTCTCTCCCTCCTAGAAATAAATAAAAAACATTAAAAAAAAATTTTTTTTAAAAAGAAAGAGAAGTCCAAGAAATAAGGGAGCTACAGGAGAACACAATGAGAGAGGAGAGGGAGGAAATGGATGACTGCTGTCAGAAACACAGAAAAAAGGAAACCAGCCTTTGCAATCAGGCTGGGTTGAAATCCCAGTTCTGCCCCCTCCAGGCCAATGACCTTGAGCACATCACTCTCCTCTCTGAGCCTCAGTTTCCTGACCTGGAAACTGAGGCTCATCATACCTGCCCTGCAAGAGCTGGAAAACACCAGCACAGGGGCCGGCACCACCTAGATTTTGAGAAATAGCGATTATCTGTATTCACTATTATTAGGTGGATGATAGATTCATTTATAGATTTTTGAGGACAGAAAAAAACAAAAAGCTTGCTCATTCCACAGTGCCTTTTGCAAAACTGCTAGATTTGTTTGGCTCTTTGGGGGAAGTTCCCCCTCTCTGGGATCAGGGGAACTTTTTGAGGCCCCAAAGGGGCCCATCAGCTGGGCTGGGGGAGGGCAGCAATGCACACCTTTCCCTGTGATAAGGGACCAGTTTTCTCACTGTGGATCCTGCCATGCACACCCCTGCAGCTCTGACATATAGACCCTATCTCCCAGATTCCAAAGAAAATGACTCAAGGGCACAAACTTCAGCCAGAAGCCTGTAGTAGAACTGATCTTTTAAAGATGCCAAACCTTCCCAGATTGTTCCATTTAGGCTGTTTTCATTACAATCCATAGCCTTTTTTCAGCTTTGCCTTTGAGAGCACCTAGAGGGTATGAGAGCTTTGCACCCCTCAAGGTCTCCAGCAGCCTCCTCGGGCCTCCCTACCCCGTGCCTATGTACTGCAGGGTGATGGCTCCACAAACCTGACAGTTAGAACGCCTGAGCCTCCAGCCAGCAAATGGCTGTCCATAAAGCCCTCCAACCCAGTGCATTCTAGAGCCAGGCAATCCCATTAAAGTTCTCTGGACTGTTCCAGTCACTGCCAAGGATGAGCCAAGGTCGTGTGAGTCAAGAGGTATCCCGAAAAAGCATTGCTTTGCTACCCTGGATGCTACCTCCTCCTCTGCCTGGCCCCACCAAGCCAAGCCAGCCCTCATGCTTCTGAACCCACGGCTCCCTCTGCCCTGCCCTCCCTGGCCTGTGTGCCCCCCACCCCTGGAAAATATCCCTTACCCTTCAGGCCCCTTGTGCATCCTCCTCTGAGCCACGTCATCTGAAGGAGGATCAGACAAACCCCATCCTGGCCTCATAGAGTGCCCGGCCCCGCCCCACACCACCGCACTGGTCCTCTCAACCCAATACAGACTGGACCCACACCCAGGCTCCCGATGGGGAGAGTCGGCCCACCTGCTCTGTACACCAGGGCCTTCTACACCAGAGATCATGCTTGGCCTCTCATCTCTACCCTCAGTGGGACGGTCAGCCACCCACGCCTTGGTCCAGGCCCAGCTGATCTGCTCAGGAGCCCGGCAGGGGATGCACTCCTTTATTGTGCCCATCCGGAGCCTCCAGGACCACACCCCACTGCCAGGTAAGCCCACATGACTCCCCAGGACCCCTGCCAGGACAGGCCTCCTTGTCCTGAGGCCCTGGGGGACATGGGAGAAACTAGGACATGTCTCCCTTCGGCAGGGAGGAGTCCGGTTGGACAGACCTCATGCTAATGGGCTGGGTGAACTTAAGTAAGCTTCAGCACGCAATCTGACCTCAGCGTGGTCCCCTGCAAAACCGGTGTAATAAGCCAATGTCACAGGCTGCCATGAGGCTCAGAGGAACTGGAACGTGTGTGTGGTACCCCCCACACAGAAAGTACTTGGCTGATAGACGTTCCCATCTCCATCTCCTTCTAGGAATCACTGTTGGAGACATCGGGCCCAAGATGGGCTTTGACCATATAGACAATGGCTTCTTGCGGCTGGACCATGTGCGGATCCCCAGAGAGAACATGCTGAATCGCTTTGCACAGGTGGGGGTCCTGGGGAGGCTGCAAGCTTACGCTGCCTGGAGAGGGGATGGTGGCCCCTGCAGACTGCTGCTGTCTCTGGGTCCTCCCCCATAGGGCAGAGTTTGGAGAGCTCCCACCTCAGAGACGCTCTTGTGTCCCACTGATCTGTGTAAAAACCCAGTTTAGAAGCTGTGTGATCTTGGGCAAGTCACTTGGCCTACCTGAGCCTCAGAGTTATCATGGGTAAATGGGGAGGTAGAGCAATCATGGGGTAGGGTGGCAAAGCAATCTGAGAAGAGGGAAGAGCTGAGGGTGAAACGCATATTTATTTGCACTGAGGCCTGGACACAACCCGTCACGGACCAGACACCAGCCGAGTGCTGGAGGAAGCTCTGGAGGTCCCCATCTGGCCAGGCATTACACTGACCTGTGCATTTGGGGAAGGTCCTAGGTGTCCAAGGAGAAGAGTGTGAACTGAGGCACTTTGGGCAGTGGCTGTTTTGCAAACAGCACAGGTGTGTTTAGCAATCAGCGCAGCTGGCAGTCGGCCACCTGTCCCGGGTGAGCAGTTTGAGGACTGTGGTGCCTGCAGGGCATGAAGCCCATAGTTGCGGGTATAGGACAGGCTGGGGAGTCTTGGCTCAGACTCAGCACCTGCCTTTGGCCCACCAGGTCTTGCCAGATGGCACCTACCTCAAGCAAGGAAAATTGCAGATCAACTACCTTTCCATGGTGATAACTCGAGTGTCTCTGATCTGGGGCGAGATAACACTCAACCTGAAGAAGGCCTGTGTCATTGCCATTCGCTACTCAGTCATCCGTCGCCAGTCCCACCTCCGGCCCAGGCAAGAGGCACCCACCGGCTGACCACTACAGACAGAACTATATCCCCTGATGCCACCCGGCTGCCAGAGTGGGGTGCTGGTAATACACATCACCCCCGCAACACACACACAACGTCTGCCCAGACCCAGCCCATCTGGCCATGTCTGACAGTCTCTATCTGGCTCCTTCTGACCCCTGGCTGATCAGCTGCCCATCCTGTGTCTGTCAGTGTCTGGCCCCATGCGGTTTCTGTGTGATTTGTCTTGGGCCTTATACTGTCAGACCAGTCCGTCTGTCCAAGTCCAACTGAGTCCTACCCGGCTATGACCAGCTGAGTGTGCCTGGGTCAGCCGCTTGCCAAACTGCTGGTGACGGTGGCTCCTGAGTTTGTTCTGTCAGGATGTGGGTGATTGGGAAAAGCCCAATTGTCACGCCAGACGGTAAATGACTGAAGTCAGTTCTGTCTGGTTGAGACTGTCAGCATCCTGTGGTATGCCCAAGTCTGGATCCATTTTGTTGTATGTGGCTGTGTCCGGCTAATACTCCCTCTGCCCTATGGGACCGAATAGCCGACTACTCTGTTTTTCAGCATGCGTATGTGTAACCATGCATATGCATGCCTGTGGAAATCCACACATGCTTGCCAGATTCAGCAAATGAAAATACAGGACTGCCTGTAAACGGTATTTTGCTGCAAGCAGAAAATAATGGGGACATGCACCCAGGACATGGCAACATGGAGCTGAGCATACGGTGCCCCGGTGCCAGCATGGGCAGGGAGGTAGTGGTGCTGGGGATGGGCTTCCACCTGCCAGTTCTTGTCCCACCTCTGCCAAGTGACCCCGGGAAAATCCTTTGCCCTCTCTGGGCCTCAGATTTTCACCTGTGATGTGAAGAGGAGAGAACTTCCAGTCCAAGAACCTGGCGATGTTTCCTGCCATGGGCTGAAGGATCCAGGAGTCTAATGCAAAATGGACTGTGGGCTGATGCCAGGCAGACCCGGGTGGACCATGGCTAGGCCACTTGCCAGCTGTGGGAGCTTCTGCTAGTCACCCCACCTTTGTCCCTCAACTTCCTCACCTAGAACACGGGGTGACAAGAGCAATCTTTCAGGGCAGTGCTGAGAGTAAAAAGCAACAGAGCATCCAGGCCCATAGCCCAGGAACCTTTCCTCTAGCAAACCCAGGGTTCCCCGCACTGGCCTGGGCTCCAGATTCCTGGGAGCAGAGAGTCTTCTCTGGAGGACAGGGGTGTCAGGGAAAGCTGCTGCTGTCGATGTCCCATCCGGACTTCAGTTTTCTGGGTGGCAGAAGTGTCCCAAGAATGGTTATAATAGCACATGTCTAAGTGAGGGGTTGCTGACCTGGGTTTCTCCCCAACAGCAATGGGAGGCTCCTACATTCATGCTTTCTTTTAATCCACAAATAGTTACTCCAGGCCCCTTCATGCTGGATACAGTCTCGGGCACTGAGGACACAGCAACAGATGAGGCAGATACAGTTCCTACCTTGGGATTCCATCAGACCCAAGTTCACATCCTCAGAGTTACTAATTAGGCCTGATGTACCTCCTAGCACATACTATGTGTGCCTGGACTTTGAAAGGTCAAGTTCCAAATCATCAGGGGTACAAGACTACAACCCCTCACTTAAAATCCTTGGGACTAAGTGTGTTGGAATTCAGAAGCTTCCAGATTTTATCAGGATAATATGGTGCACATGCTGTAATTTTGTAAACTTCCCCCATAAAGGGCGGCACCCGTAAGCAAACATGTCAATATTTCTGCAGAGAACTGTGTGGATATTCATGTTAGATAGAATTTTAAGATCATTACTAACTTCATGCCAGGCCAGGTCAGGTTTTGCAGTGAGTTAGAAAAAGCTATCAGTCTTTAAGTCTTTTATGGCACTGGGGACATGGGAAGTGGGGAGGTGGCATGTAGCAATCTTCTAAACCTTCTGCTTTTCTTCCCCTCAGTGACTCAGAGGCAAAAATCTTGGACTACCAGATACAGCAGCAGAAACTCTGTCCTCAGCTGGCCACAGCCTATGCATTCCATTTCCTGGCAAGCAACCTCCTGGAATTCTTTCACAGCTCCTATAATGCCATTCTGAACAAAGACTTCAGCCTCCTCCCTGAGGTACCTGCTGTCTGCTGGGGGTGGGGAGTGGGGTGCAGGAGCTGGGAGCATGGCTGAAATTGTTCTCGTCACTGGGATGCAGCCTCAGCCCTGTCGCATAGGCTCTTTCTACTCTCTCCCCCAAGCCTTCCAACACCCCAGGGCACCCAGGGCAAACTGTACCTCAACATATAAATCCACCTACATCTGGCCTCCAAAAAGCTCCAAAAATGTTAGAGGGAATGATCACACATAATACATACAACACAGGAGCACAGTACCTGATGTTTATTTGAAACCTAAAAAGCCCCCCAAAATCATAGTCATTGAGAACATGTTTGGTGGCACACTTTGACCTGAATTGATCTGATTTATCCCACTGGATATATATACATTTTACAGCAGAAATATCAATGAATTGCCCCAGACTAAGGCTGCCCCAGACTCTTCTGGGTATTATATATAATCTACCTTCAATGCCTTGCTTTAGCTTTCTAAAATACAAAAAAAACATTGACTCCAGAACACATCCAGTCCCAAGGGTCTCAGATAAAGGACTATGGACTTACATATACTGTAAGATTCAGTTCGCCAGACCCTGGGCTTCACAAGCATAGCTTCATTAATCCTCAATTGTAGACCAGGCACCATTTTATATTCCCATTTTACAGATTAGGAAAGTGAAGCACAGAGAAGTTAAGTAACATAACCTTCTTCCCAAGGACTTAAACATCTGAAAGATAGGGAAAGGCTTTCAAGAACCAAAAGCTCAAACCAGTTCTGCAGCCTGGCAGCCTCAGGCCAGTGGGCTGGTGGTGGACCTCCACCCTCACAGGACAGCTCTCCAAAAACTCCACTTGACCAGCAAAATCTGTAACTCCTGGATGACGGTGAACCCAATCTGGGAAGCACCCTCTTCCAGGGATCCTGGAGACACTGGCCTGGAAGGTTTTCCTTTGTTTTTACCCCAGCTACATTGCCTCATTGTATGATCTCAGGCAAGTCACATAACATCTCTGAGTCTCAGCCTTCTCATTCATAAAGTTGAGAGCTGAGGAAATGATCTTACGTCACAGGGCTGTCATGGACACACAGCAGGTTGTAGGAGCGGTAAGCATGGCTGTCACTGGAGGGCCCCCTTACTCGCCCTGCCCCCCCTGTTCTCACAGCTCCATGCGCTGAGCGCAGGAATCAAGGCCATGGTGTCGGACTTGTGCAACTCGGGGACTGAGCTATGCCGCAAAGCCTGCGGCGGCCACGGCTACTCGAAGCTGAGCGGCCTGCCCTCACTGGTCACCAGAGGGGCAGCCGCCTGCACCTACGAGGGTGACAACACCGTGCTCTACCTGCAGCTGGCCAGGTAGGCGCCTTCGCGGGTTGAAGCAGCGGCCGATGTCCATGGCGGGAACGGGCACCCGGAATGGCCATGTGGACACCACCCAACCCACGCAGCCTGTCTCCGGTCCAGCCAGAGCTTTAGGGAGGCTGGAGAAGGGCGCAGCTCTCCCTTGCTTCACTTTCTTCAGTGGCTCCCCACTGCTCGTGGGAAAACCACACTGCCCCCATACCCACTCCCCCCACCTCCCTTCCCCAGCTGGCCAAGTTTCCTCTTTCCAAGCAATGGCTTCATGAACGCTCACTTCCCTCTCCCCCTCACCCCCCAAAAATCTCTGGCCCAGCCTGCTGGGCCTGCTGCTGTAAGTGGCTCGTCCCAAGGGGTGCTGCTTAGATGCCTGCCCTGACCCTCCACTCAACACCATCCGAGTGTCTCTTCTCTGTGAGCCAGAGCTCCTGGGGCCTTGCCCACCAACTGTCCTCAGGCTCAGTGCAGGGCCTGCTGCAGAGGCTCCCACCGGAGAGGCAGGAAGGGAGCCGGGATCCGCGCCCACCAACTGACAGTTTCTGTTCATTCTCTTCTGTCTGTGGGGGCTCCGGCTGACCAGGCCTTTCACATTCATCACATTCATCTATCCTCGGGTGACTCAACAGGGAAGATTTCCCCATGCAAGGGGAAAGGGCTTGCTAGCAAATAGGCTATATAATATTCTTGAAAAAATCTGTAATATGTAGTATTATAGGGGGTGGTTCAAATTATAAGAGGGATACAGTACCATGTATTAGACATTCTGTGCTCCACATTATATAAGCATTACAAATATTTTCTGTTTTCACAAACCTTCTATCAGATGAGTATTATTATCCCCATCTAGAGATGGAGAAACTGAGGCCAAGGGAGGTGAAGTAACTTCTACAAGCATCGCAGAGGTCTCAGCAGAGCTGCCTGGGAATCCAGGATTGGCTGAGGCCAGAGCCTATAAGCACTGGATCATCATAGGAAAGAAGCCAAGAGCCACCTGTAACTCTCCCACTTGTGTTAGCATTCTTACACTTATCCTTTCTCAAGTAAGAAAATTTAATCTCTGCTGTCACTGTACAAATCAGCATAAATCCCCAAATCACACGATCCTAACCAGAAGAACAGATTCTGTTTGCTCAGATACCAGAAGGGTTTCGGTTCAGAATCTGTCTTCGCAGCTCTGCAACTCCAGCCTCCTTTCACTGTGGAAGAAACCACAACCTCAGGGTGCACGGCCCTGAGGGCCTCACAGCCGGGGAGTGGGAGCTTTGGAGTGAGGATAACCATCAGGAGAGACCAGGCGAGAGCCTGCATGGTCCTGGGTCTCCCATAGGGAGAGTAAGAGTGCATGTTTTGGGGAGACAGGGGCACTGGGCTATATCCCACGGGGCTCCCTGCTGCTCACCGGCTCCCACTCCCACCCCCACCCCCAGGTTTCTGGAGAAAAACTACCTGCAAGCTCAAGCATCCCCAGACTCCACATCGCAGAGATCTCTCCCTCAGTCTGTTGCATACCTGACTGCACCTGACCTGGCCAGGTGCCCAGCCCAGAAAGCAGCTGACTTCCTCCACCCAAAACTCTACACCATGGCCTGGGCACATGTGGCAGCCAGGTGAGCAAGAAATTGGCCATTCCACCTGGGGACGGGCTCCTTCCTACACTAGGGCCTTTGGGATGGGCTGGGTGAGCACTCATGCATACTCCTCTGAAAAGCACCTCCTTCCCCAACCTCAGTCCTCTCAGTTCCTGCCACTGTGGGCAGAGAAGGGGAAGTCACATCCAGCAGCCACCATCACTTCCCTATCCTAGTTGAGATAGTAGAAGGACATCACCCTTCTGACCAGAGCAAGGAGCTTTTTATATCTTTAGGTTCTTATATTTTTAGGTTGCGATTTGTAATCCAACAAATGTGCCCATTTGTAAGCACCCCATCAGTAAAGTAAACATCAGTATCCATAGAGGTCTTATATCCCAACCTGTGGTTCCAGGGATGGTTAATAATTGTTTCAAGATCATGAGCAACTCTGGACATTCATTTATTTATTCCACAATGTGCCAGGCACTACTCTAGGCACTACTGATCTATCCGTAAACCAGTCAAAAAAAGCCCAGGCCTCACAGATCTAACATTTTAGTTGGGGGAGGTGGGGAGTGCAAAATAAGGCTGCTCGGGGTAATTAAAATGCCATTATACTGATTCTTGCTTCGAACTCAATGTGACATCTGCTTATCTATTCCCTGACAAGAATAAATATTGCTTAATAAACAGTTTGCTTTGCATTAAAATTCCAAGGGTCATGAATACATAGGTAGGGAATAGAAAATAAAAGGATAAAGGTTAAGTAAATGGCAAATGACCAATTTAGTAATTTGGAGGACAAGGGTTTGTTTGATTTTTTTTTTTCTTTTCTTGCCTTTTAAGGTCCCTTAGTTAGAACCTGTAACAGGCTGGGTGACTGAGAAGGCTCACTAGCCTTTACAGGTAAACCATTGTCCTTGCTCAGCCACAGCAGTCACTGGTATCAGGATGGTGTCTGCATTAGAAAGGAGGGTCAGTGCCTGGCTTAGAGCCCTAAGGCTTTACAGCTCAGAGCTTAAGACAGCTCCTCCCCTCACTAGCTATGTGACCCTGAACCAGTTAGTTAACCAATATGGGACTCAGTTTTCCCCACTGTAAATTGGAAATGCCTACCCTTAAAAGGCTTAAAGAGAGGGGCACCTGGGTGGCTCAGTTGGTTCAGCGTCTGACTCTGGACTCTTGGTTTCAGCTCAGGCTCAGGTCATGATCTCATGATTCATGAGTTGGAGCCTGTTCAGGATTCTCTCTCTCTCCCTTTCTTTGCCCCCTCCCCTGCTCAAGCCCGCTCTCTCTCAAAATAAACATTTAAAAAAAATTTTTTTAAGGGTTAAAGAGATAATATGTAGCATCTAGCCTTGCAACACAAATGGTCAATACACAGGAATTACTGTATTTCTACTTCTGAGGGACCCCAGGCAGCCGGAGACCAAACTCCATCAGTCTCTTTCCCACTCAGGAAGTTGAACCTTTTTTTCTTTGGCCCTCAGGCTCGTAAAGGACTCAGTGCATCATTTACAGACTCTGATGCGATCTGGGGCTGACAGGCATGAGGTGTGGAACCAGACCACTGTCATGTTCGTCCAGGCTGCTAAGGTGAGCTGCCCGCCAGCTGAAGCTCCAGCTGAAAGGGGCCCATTTTGTTTCCCCAGCAGGCCACCATGCTGAGAAAATCTGAGCATTGCCATTATTCCCCAGCCCTGCTCAGTGGCTGCCCTCATTTCACTTCCAAGGCTTTCGTCCAGGGTATTTTAATTAAAGGACTTAACTCCAAAGCAATCTTGCTGACAGCTCTTAGGGAAAAAAACGTAACGAGGCAGTGTTATTGGATTTCCTTCAGGTTGTTCAAATATTTCCTCCCCGATAGAAAAGCAGGTCAAGTCTCCCCTTAGCCCCACAGGCAATCCTTAGATGTCTGATTCAATTTCTGCTATATTTTGTGTTTGTGCATAATTCACATTCAGTCAGCAAATATTTGAACACCCGCTCAACACCAGGCATCGGGCTGGGCACTGAGAGACACAGGCTGCCACAGGATGCCAGAGAGGTGTGTCTCTACCCAGTTTGAGGAGCAGAAAGGCTTCACAGAAGCGAAGCCAAGACTTCCAGGATGAGCTGAAATTAGCCAGGCAAAGGGTAAAGGCTGTGGTTTTGGAAACGAAGATTTCCTGTCCAAGGGAACAGCAGGTGAAGAAGGAAGAGACAAGAAAAGGCATGGTGCTTGAGAAAATGCAGAGCCTCAAGGAAGAGCTACAGGAGGAAGCCTGAAAGCAGAAGAGGAAGGCAGGTGGGGGAGGAGAAAAGATAGGCTAGGCCTGGGACCTTCTGCATCATTGTGAGAAGTTTGGTTTCCTTTTCATCGCAATGGGACTTGTTTGCAGACTTTGTATCAGGGGAGTGAGGTGACCAGTGTTTCATTGTAGAGGAGTCACGCAGGCTGCCTAGGGAGCAATCTAGGCCAGTCAGGCACAGGCGGCAGCAGTCTGGGCAAGGGCGGCGGGTGGTCCTGACCATGAACCTCGCAGAGCACGTGGAGAAAAGTGAGTAGATGCAGACATATTAAGAGTGTAGAAGAAAGGAATAGGCTTCAGAGAGTAATGGGGTGAGAAAGAGGTCAACTCCTGAGCTCTAGCCTAGGCAGCTGGCACTCTGACCCTACCTACAGCTGGAAAACCAAGGTGAACACTTCAATCCTCAGGCATCAGGCCCAGGAAATGGCAGAAAAGCCCAAAGAAGTGCCCTCACAGGGCAGGCACGAGCACCACCTGGTGACCTACAGTCTCTACCACATCAGCTGGTGCTGGTATTAACTCTGCCACCATCCACTGGGCTGTGTCCACTGCAGGGGCACTCCCTGCTATGCTAAATGTCCTATTAGCACAGAGGAGGGTGAGCCAAGGCTGTGCTCTCACCAGACTTCCAAAAAAGGAACCACAGCTGCCTATTATTCATCCATTTTCCAAACCTATGACCTGCCTTCCAGTGGACCAGATACTGTGTGCCAGGGTTATTTCATTTAACACACACAACTCTGGGGGTGAGAGTAGCATAATCTCCATTGTAAGGATGAGGAAAGAGAACTAAAAGGAATGAAGTCCCACAGGTAGGAAATAGTTATGATGCTTTGCTTTGCTTTTTTTTCCCTGATGGATGAAAGCCATGTCCTCAGAGAGCCACTGTGTGTGAGGGAGGGAGGTGATCCCCAAGTTCTAGGGGCACCAAGGGCAGGAAGCTCAGCCAGCCTAGAGGAGAAAAGCAAGTCCCTTCTCCCCAGGCCACTGTAAGCTGAAGAAGAGTGGCTTCCTGGGAAGATGGTGCCCAAGATGAGTCTCCAAAGTCACAATGGGCAGGGAAATTGCAATTTCTGAGCTTCATGCTTTGAAGAACTATCTACGCCGCAGAAACTTTAAGCACCCACCAGGTCCCATCTAGAAGCCATAAATATGCAGGGAGAGAGTGACAGCATCACAAGGGGAGTGGGGAACAGTGGCAGAGCAGTAGACAAGGAGCAAGCCCTGGCCTAAATTCCGTATGGCCTTGCTATGTGACCCCTGGTCATCCTTCCTTTTCTGGCCTGTAACTTTCCAGTATGTAAAAAAAAAAAAGGGGGGGGGGTATCAATGGGACCTTTAAACTCCAATGGGCTCTCATCCTATAATCTGAAACCCTGCCTAGGAGGAATGTCAGTCCCAGCACCACTGGCGCAAATGGTGGAACCAAGTATAATCCAGCCTCGGTCTCGGCCTGCTTTGGCAACACAGCGCAGTAGTAAAGAGTACAGACTCTTAGGGGGTGGGCTATTCTGATATGGATCTCGTTGCTACCACTTACTAGCCAAGTGACCTTGGGCAAGGAATTTAATCTTTCAGTGCCTCAGTCTCCTCATCTGCAAAATGGAGCTCATAACAGTATCTACCTTTTCCGATTATTATGAAGATTAAATGAGTTAAGACATGTAAAATTAAAGATGCACCTAACAATGCGACACATCCCACGCCCACACCCAAATCAGGCAGGATGCAAGATAAATACACAGAAAGTAAGTAAAGTTCATTGTGTTCAGAGCACAGCGCCAAAGTGTGATTCACCCTGTCGCCGAAGGAGAGGCCAGGGCGCTCAGGCGATTCTTTTTTATCACTCCACTCAACAACCCAAGGTCCTGAGCATGTAAGGATGTGGCCCTCAGGCTAGAACAGGGGGGCAGGGTCTGTCCAGTTTGGGCACGGAGGGCTGTCTGACCCAGCAGAGGCAGCAGGGCATATCTGTTCCTCTTCTACATCCAAATGCTGCAAACTGCACGTGGCGGTGAGCACACCAGGTCCAGGAGGCAAAGTGGCGGTGTTCGCACCCGTACGAAGCCTCTGTGGGAAAGGCAGATCTGTCCCAAAGTGAGAAGCCTGATGGGGTCACCTCCCTGCGGAAGACTTCTGTGGTTCTCTGACCCCGACAGAATGGAATCCCAGCTGATGTGATGTGATGTGGGCTCGAGAGCCAACAGTCAAGAAGCAATTCTTTTGAGACGTTTTTGGTGCAAAAAAAGGTAGTTTTACTAAAGCATAGGAACAGGAGCCATGGGCTGAAAGAGCTGCCCTGGGGTTGTAAGGAGTGAAGGATTATATACTTTTAAGTTGGGAGGAGTAGAGTCAGAGGACATTTCCAGAAGGATTTTCTTATGTTAAAGACGACTTACAGGATCCTGAACACCTGGCTATTGTCAAGCTAAGGTTTTTTCCTCTAATGTGGCATTCCTGGAGGGAGGTCACACTCAGCCTGTCTCAAGTACTTGTCCATGGGCTACAACTTATAAGGAAATTTAATTTCATCTATGTTTCTTTTGCATTTGGTCTCCACATCACCAACCATGTCATTCACGGCCCTTTACTGTCCTGGGTCCCAGGTGCCTACCTGCCCTAACTTGTTCATTCTGTCCTCCCCTCAGTAGACTGCTTACAGCCTCCTGCAAGTGCAGCCGTGTGCCCAGGAAATCCCCCTGCTTTAAAAAAAAAAAAAAAAAAAAATGGCCTTTCCCCATTCTTTGTCCCCCTGACTACATTTCTTTGAACCGTCAAGACAATCTAAGCCTAGCTACTTAAGGCATTACAGGGAAGCTATCCGGAAATCTGCATTTTGACAAAATCACCAACTACCCTGTGTGCACATAAAAATTTGAGAAGAATTTAATGTGCTTTCCTTTCCTCCCTACCCCCTCCCCCCCCCCCATGGAATCCATAAACCTTACCAGATAACAATAGCGTGCATTTGTCTTTGGGAGAAGTAGAATATTCAAAATACCTAACAACTGGTAGGGCATGGGCAGGGGCCAGTCAGAAGGCACTTCAGGCGTAGCTGAGGCAGGGCCTGAAAGTCCCCTGCTGGGTCAGGCATTTATCCTTTATTTGCTGAGCTGTGGGGAGGGGGAGGTCCCAGAGAAGGATCTTGGCTGACTGAAGGGGCTCTCCTGGGGTTGAGGGCAGTGGTCACTTACTAACTGGTACCAAAACTTTTATACTTTTTATGTAACCTCTGTGCCCAATGTGGAGCTTGAACCTATGACCCTGAGATCAAGAGTCATATGCTCCACCGACTGAGCCAGCCAGGTGCCCAAAGATTTTGTTTTAACCAGTGACAAAGCCAGGCTGTTGCATATGAGCTAAATAACAACCCTGCCTCGTAGAGTTCACTCTCTCACTGGGAGAAATTCTGTGTCCATCTTGAGCCCCTACTTTCTCTACTCCACAATGTACACAAGCACACACATACACACACACACCACACTGCCTTGAACACGGCAAACAATAAATAGCTGTTTTCTTAAGAAAGTGGTGCTGTCCTTCACTGTCTCCAGGCCAGCCTCCAATACACCTGTATTCTTTCTACCTTTCAAACCTATTTGAAATTTCCCCCAAACAAAAAAAAATTTTTCCCAGAGCCCACAAGCCCCCAAGCCCCCAACATGCGCACACGCACCATCAAAAAGGCTCAGTGAGACCCACAGTGAGTCAGGAGAAGTGCGGGGAAACACGTGGCCACAGGGAGCTTATCCCAGCAGTCTTCCCAAACTCCCAGGATGACTTCTGAAGTCAGAAATCAGAAGCTAATGTATCTTTGTGTCTTTTAGGCACACTGCTATTATATCAGTGTGAAGAATTTTACAGAAACTCTGGAGAAACTAGAAAATGAACCAGCAATTCAGCAGGTGCTCAAACGCCTCTGTGACCTCTACGCTTTACATGGCATCCTGACAAACTCGGGTGACTTTCTCCATGATGGCTTCCTATCTGGGGCCCAAGTGGATGCGGCGAGAACAGCCTACCTGGACCTGCTCGCCCTCATCCGGTAAGTGGCTGGCCTTCAAACGATGGTGATCTTCAGAGATGAGCCCTAGACCCTTTGTTCACTTCAAGCTCCAAAGTCTTGCTAAGTGGAGTCTGGCAAAAGCAGCAAACCACCCTGGAGAGGTTTATACTCTAGCATGAGTACATCAACATAAAGTTTGCATTATGGATTAATGAAAGAAAAAATGAAAAAAATTAAAAATAAAAATGCTTAAAAACAAATTATCGGGGCGCCTGAGTGGTTCAGTAGGTTAAGGGTCCAACTTCGGCTCAGGTCATGATCTCACGGTTCATGAGTTTGAGCCCCGTGTGGGGCTCTGTGCTGACAGCTCAGAGCCTGGAGCCTGCTTCGGATTCTGTGTTTCCCTCTCTCTCTGCTCCTCCCTGCTCACACTCTGTCTTTCTCTCTCAAAAATAAATAAACCTTAAAAAAAAACAAATTATCTCACATCTCAGTCGAACTCTTCAACCTTGTAAACAGGAATAGCATCTAAATGATGCATACCACATATTCATAATATGTAAACATTAATGAGTCTTAATCATGGCTAATATTTAAGGAACATTTATGTGTGCCAGGCATTATGCCAAAAGCTTTCACACATATTATCTCATTTAGTCCTTATAGCCTTTTGAAATAAATACTATTAATCTCCCCATTTTACTGGGGAGGAAATTCAGGCGGAGGGGAGTTAAGTAACTTGCCCAAGGTCTCACGGTCAGCCAAGGAGGAGCCACGTACAATCTGGGGCCTGTCTGACCCCAGGGCATACGTTCTAAACTGTATGAAAGTTAAGGTGGGGCTACTGTTTATTTCAAACATATCTTAGTCTTTGTTGAATGTGTTTAAGCAAGCTCTTACTAAGTTGACTAAACTTATTTTAATCCTTCCTCAGCTTCAAGGTGAGATATTTTTTTAAACCAGTAATTCATAAACTGATTCATAAAACAATAATACAAATAGTTCTTAAATGCAACTTAATGCAGTGTAGTTTAGGGTCATGACATATTAATGCAATACTTTCATTCTGTTACATTACATATAATCTTAATGATCACTTTAAAAACATTGACACCAAAGCCCCAACCTGAATAGGGCAGTGGAAAAAATAAATTAAAATAATACAAAGCAGTCACCACTTTCCATAAGTGAAAAATGGGCTACCTTGAGAGCACAATCTTTTCTGAGGAAATATGATGCCGTTTTATGTGGGGTGGTATGGTGTGTGTGTATGTGTGTGACTCTTCCCCTAGAACCTCCAATAGTTCACATTATCTACGTGACGAAGATAATAAAGGAAAAAGATTTGAAATTTAACAAATAAGCTACTCATGACAAAGTTTAAAAACAAAACAGATCAAATTAGTTTTATTTCTAAGAACATGCAACATATTACAAACCGTTTATGACCTCACATAAGCACCTAACAGATATGTGGTGGTGGGTAAATGTTCAATTAAATCATCAAAAACTGTCAAAATACATTTTACAGAATTATGCCCCAGGTATTAAACTTTCACTAATGTACAGAATCCAGTGGTGGGAACTATTAATAGCAGAACTGAGTAGTGCACAGTTCAGCCCAAGTGTATCTAATTTGGAAATGCTCAGCATTTTTTTTTTATAGTTTACTTATTTTGTGAGAGAAAGCATGAGCAGGGGAGGGGCTGAGAGAGAGGGAGAGAGAGAATCTCAAGCAGGCTCATGCTCAGTGCAGAGCCTGACGAGGGGTTAGATCTCATAAACCCAACCATGAGATCCTGACCTGAGCCGAAATCAAAAGATGGATACTAAAACACCTGAGCCACCCAGGAGCCCAGGAAATGGTCAGCATTTAAAACACATGAAGACAATAATATTCTAGCCCTGACTGGCAGTGACAATGAAATACAAAAGATAACCTTAACACTTCATAAGCATGATTTTTTTTTTTTTTTTTTTAATCTGCAACGGCATTTCTAAGTGCTTGCCTTGGTGTCAAAGACTTACAGCTTAGGACAAGACCAATGGCACTGACACAAATAGGCAACTTATGTATGCATGAACCCACCAACTGGTTTACTTACATTTTGGTACTTAAGTAACCTTCCTATTACTGTGGGGTAGCCAGGTATGTAACAGACTCCATGGTTACAAAAGTTCTGTGTCACAATTCTCTGCCTGATTACTTAGTTTCACCCTCTGATTTCTGAGATGACAAAGGATGGCACACTATTCCATGTGACACTAAGAACCAGCTCTGTGTGTAATGGTAATTAGCTGACCCAGTTTAGAGTTGTTTAAGGGGTTGTAAAATCTCAGCTGGGGGACATACAGGTGAAGATGACATACTGAACAAGGGCATTTACTTTTGTTTCTGAAACACAACAAAAACACCAGCAAAGAGATTAAAACTTTTAAAAAGGTATAAAACCCACAAGAAGAACAGGAAAGGAAACCTAAAAAAAATAAGAAAGTAGATGGACAGTGACTGCAGACCTGGGAAAACTGGATCATAAATCGGAAGTGGAAAACAATTTATACCAAAGAACCCCAAGAACTAGCAGCACTGTGTACCTCCGGCCATGGGGGTGAAGGTGAGGCCCACAGGATGGGCTGGAAGTCTGTTGTAGGAGCTGAACCCTCAGTGCCCCTCTTTCTCCAGGAGTAGTTTTGAGACATTTCTGAACTTCACCTTGGCGGAAGGGTACACAGGGGGTCTGTGGGCCAGGGAACACTAGGTATAGTGAGAATGAGGCTACCCTACAGAAAACAGGGGCCTGAATACATGTTTATAGGCCAAGTGCTAAGTGTCCCCTACCCCAGCCCTCTTTTCCCTGGTTCCCAGAAAACTGGCAGCAAGGCTAGTGGCCTACAGGAAGATGATAGACAGCATGCTCCTTCTCTGCAGAATCTGACCAGCCCAAAGGAGATACAGCTAAAGATACTGACGCCACAGTTCCCCAGTTCACCCCACAGTGAACCCCACACATCTACAAGCACGCCCAGACTTCTAAGTAGCTAGCTAATGCCCCACTCTTAGGTATGACCAGACACTCGCAGATCCCCAGACACAAAAACAGAAGCAAGAACAAGACATAGATCTTGACTCCCCTTTATGATAAAACGGGAAGCCCCTGACATAACACAGAGCCCAAACAAGCAAGAACGAAATAACCTGGAGGGTACAAGAGAATCTCCAGGGAGAAGGACTCTTTTTTAAAAGATAAGTAATATCGCCAAAGAGTTAAGAGGAAATATTGCAACCACAAAACAAGAATGTCATTTCTTAAAAACTAATATTCAGGGGGCGCCTGGGTGGTTCAGTCGGTTGCGTGTCTGACTTCTAGAGGATCACTCCAGCTGCCATATTAAGGAACTGGGCAGGGGACGAATAAAAAGCAGGGAGCCCAGCTAGGAGGCCACCTCAATAATCCAAGTGAAAGATGACGATGGGTTAAACTAGGTGATAGCACTGAGGGTGGTGGGAAGTGGCTGAAGTTCAGATATATTTGGAAGTTAGAACAGGAGTTACTGACAGATTAGGTACAGGATGTATGCGACAGAGAGAAGCTCAGGTTTTTGGCCAGGACAGAGTTGCCATTTACTATAAATGTGCCAGGTTTGGGCAGGATGCACAGGAAAAGCTGTAGAAGATCAGGAGTTTGGCACCTTTTTTTTTTTTAAGTTTTATTTATTTAAACAATCCCTACACCCAACATGGGGCTCAAACTCAACCCCAGGATCAAGAGTCACACACTCTACTGACTGAGCCAGCCAGGTGCCCCAGGAGTTTGGCTTTGAACATGTTAAGTTTCAAGAGCCTATTAGAAATTAAGGAAGACGTTAAAACACAGGTTAAGTGAGACTGGAGAGATGGATTTAGAAGTCATTAGCATATGGCTGGTATTTAAAGCCATGAGGATATCCCATGGCGTGTGACTGGATAAAGAGTAGAGGCTGGAGTACTGAGTCTTGGGACCCGCCAAAGATGGGGAGGAGGAGGAGGACAAGAACTATTTCAGCAGAGTGGCAGAAATGAAAACCTGAACAGAACCGGTTCTAGGAAAGGAGGTGGAGAAGAAGAAATAGCAAAGCATAAACAAGCACAACGCTTCTAAGGAGTTTTATCACAAAGGGGAGTCAAGATCTGGAGTAGATGATGGAGAGGGAAACAGACTCAAAAGCTTGTTGTTAAGATGGAGGATAGCACACCCACGTTCATATACAAAAATGATGCAATAGAGGTGGGGATTTTGACATTGTAAGGGAAAGACAGGAGAATTTCTAGAATATTGTTCTCTGGTAGGCAAGAGGGGAAGGCATCTACCGGACAAAGAGGGACTAGTGTGAGCTGGGAGCCTGGACAGCATACCTGTGCTAAAAACAGAGAAAGCGCTGAACGTTTAGGTGCACAGGTGAAACCTGTGGATGTGCTCTCACCGCTTCCATTTTATCAGTGAAATGGGACAAAGAGCCGTCGAAGTGAGAGACATAGGGAGGTGGGTGGCGTGGATTTAAGGATCAGAAAGAAGGTGTGAAATAATCCCCTAAGAGAATAAAGAGTACAGGAACTAGAACAATGTCATCGGACTGCTAGGCGGCCAGAAGGGCTCACTCGAGCCCCTATTACATCAGTCGGTACTGGTTTCCCCACCACACAGAGCCCCAAAGGTGGTGTCACACAGTCAGTGAAAAATTGGGGAGTATATTTTTGATGAAGTGCATATAACAGACCATGGAATTTCAGCTGAATAAGGAAGGAAAGGAGGCCACCAGGAGGATTAGGGACATTAAGTAAGTGGCAGGTGCCAATAAGGTCAAGGAAGTATAAACAGCCCTAAATGAAAATCACCCCTCAGTGATGATGAAGGGTCATCCAGAGAGGATTAAGATAGGTAAGTACAGTATCCCAGTCATCTCGAATGCTTTGTGAAAGGAGGGCTAGGGAAGAGTATAAAATAATCACATTATGCTTTCTACCTTTTGCTAAAAAAGAAAGAAAGCATGTGAACAATTTTTTAAAATCTTTCATTCAGGGGTGCCTGGGTGGCTATTTCAGCTCAGGTCGTGATCTCACCATGGGTGAGATGGAGCCCTGTATCGGGCTCAGTACTGCTGGTGCGAAGCCTGCTTGGGATTCTCTCTCTCTCCTTCTCTCTGCCCCTTCCCTGCACGCGTACATGCTCTCTAAAAAATAAAGAAATAAACTTTTAAAAAGGTTTAAAAATATTTCATTCAGTAGTCAAAAATAAAGCACATTTTGTTGCTTGAAAAAGAAAAAGACAGGGGGTGCCTGGAAGACTCAGTCAGTTAAGCATCTGACTCTTGATTTCGGCTCAGGTCACGATCTCATAGTGGTGAGATAAAGCCCGGAGCAGGGCTCTGAGTTGAGTGAGGACCCTGCTTGGGATCTTCTCACCCTCTCTTTCTGCCCCTCCCCTGAATGCACGCACGCACACACACACTCACTAAACAAACAAACAAACAAACCTTAAAAAGAAAAAGAAAAAAGGGTTATCAGAGTCAGAAGACTAGAGGGAGTCAGCTAAAAGGGCAGGAGCCAGTGAAAGGAACGCCATTTGCATCATGGTGAAGATATAGACAGATGTTGCTGTCAAGCCTTGGGATGTGGTCCTGGTAGAGAATCACAAAGAGGGGTTGTAGAACAAGTCAATGGAGAAGACCCACAAACTGAGAAGCCATGTTTTAGAGGAATATTCAGGTAGACAATGAAATCACTAAGGATGATAAGTGTTGGAGAAACAGCGGGCCAGGAAGTAGATCACTCTCAACAGGAGAGACGCGGTGGGGACACAGCTCAGCAGTGAGCAGGATACATAAAGTCACAATAATATACACACATACAGTCACAACCATGTAAGTACCAAATGTAAGTCTGACCAAAAATTTAACTATGTATTGGGAGCAGGAAGGCCAAGGGGAAGAAGCAGGGGTGAGTGGGGATGAGATGGGGTGAGGAGTGGGAACTAAAAACATATCTTTTGTAGTGGAGACGCAACAGATAATATCTAAAACTGAACAATCAAGAAGTAGCGATTCAAATAAGACATTTAGAGACATTCAAGTAAATACCAAAAATACCAGCTAAAAGACCAAGAATGATTGCAGGGTGGAGGAAGTAGAGGTGAGACAGAGATGTACTGATTTTAAATAACAAGACTTAAAGACTACTAGAATCTTTTTTTTTTTTTTAAATATTTTTATTTATTTCTAGGAGAGAGAGAGAGAGACAGCGTGAGCAGGGGAGGGTCAGAGAGAGAGGGTGTCACAGACTGAAACAGGCTCCAGGTTCTGAGCTGGCAGTCAGCACAGAGCCCGACGCGGGGCTCGAACCCACAAACCGCGAGATCATGACCTAAGCGAAAGTCGNCAGCACAGAGCCCGACGCGGGGCTCGAACCCACAAACCGCGAGATCATGACCTAAGCGAAAGTCAGACGCTTAACCGACTAAGCCACCCAGGCGCCCCAAAGACTACTAGAATCTTTTACTGTAGTATATATAACTGATCAAAAATTAAAACTTTTAAAAAATTAAAGCTGAGGTGTTCAAAAGTGAATAATGATGCAACTTCTAATGAGGTGTTGTTATCCACCATCTCTGATTAATTAGAATCATAAGAGCAACCTAAAATACTCACAAACTCTTGTTTTCTCTCTCAGGAAGGATGCCATCTTGTTAACTGATGCTTTTGACTTCACGGATCAGTGTTTAAACTCAGCACTTGGCTGTTACGATGGCAATGTCTATGAACGTCTGTTCCACTGGGCTCAGAAGTCACCAACCAATACTCAGGTAGTTGAGTAGAACACATTATAAATTATGCAAGAGAGCAGAGAACAAGCAGTGAATACACTTCCATGTTTTCTCATTTTAATTGATTCCCAGTAGGTTGGAAATTGCTTGGCATAGCACACGTGTTTAAAATAGTTTGAGAATACATAAAAGAAACCAGGAATAGGGGTGTGGCTTGGCTGGAACTCTGAGTCTGGACTGCAACCAGCAAAATGCATTGCTTAGAATTTGGTAAAGGGAATTAGGAGGAAGGCCCAAGCTCTAAACTGTGGCTTGACATACCCAAGAGTATACCCATGTAGTGGCAAACTAGCTTTTAAGTAACAAAAGTAAGATAAATCATTGCGGTGATTTAACCATCTTATTTTCAGCCTTTAACTCTCAGTTTTGTGGTGATAAAAATGGGTGAGAGGAAACTTGGGGTGAGGAGCTCACTCTCAGATCTGTCTGCTAGAGATGGCTCCTTCCTGTTCACCCTGAGCAATGGAATCCGGGAGCAAAGGCTGCGGCACTGCCATCAGCAGCCCAGGAAGGCCATGCAAACAACAATTACAAGGGTGATGGCAGAAAGACCCCCAGCTGTCTAAGAGAGAATACCAGAACTCTAGGTCATTAACAGAACAAGGAGAGGACTCATAAAATCCTTACAGTCTGGGGCCTGGGTCCCAGACTCTCTGCTTGGAAGCCTCACTGGGAAAGGTTATGAATGTCAATGACTGCAATAAGCACAGTAAAGAAATAAACCCTATATTTAGAATTCAGTAACTAATACTTAATAGATCTGATACAGATGATCAAAATGACAGTCTATGGGTACACAACAGATTAGCTGAAGCTCTATGGTACAAATATATTATTCAGATAGTGAAGCTTACTTTTTCACCCCTTAGGTCAAATTTCAGAAAAGGTGTCTTAACACCTCATAAAATTGGCAACTCTCAGGCTTTCATTCACACTTTGTGTGGTGTTAGACTTGCTGTTTGCATTTTGCATCCTGTCATACCTCATAGCTTAATTTAACATGATTATCTAAAGTTATAACACAACTGGTTAGCTCCAAGATGCCTGTCAGGCCAATCAATCCATTCTGGTCATTCCCTGTCTCCAAGAAGGCATCCTTTTAACTCAACAAGAACATATAAAGAACTTACCTAAGAATGTATGATACAGTTAGCTTAATACAGTTAAGCTGCTTGTGCTGTGTTACTTTTTCTAATAATTAGATCTCCCTACTTTCTAGTACTTAAATCCTGGCATAAAACCACAGCAGTCCTCCTCCTCCAGATTAGGCCCTGTGGTCTAAGGGTAACTGTCTGCACTTCGGTGCTCCGGAGAGAAACCAACTCTGCTGTAACACCTGTCAGCAAATGCTGACACGTCTAGCTCAAACCTGCTTAACTAGCAACACGAGGAAACATGCCAGCTCCTCGGACTCCTCATCTTCACTAAAGAACATAGGGAGCTTTCTTGTCTGTTTTTTTAACTTTGTTTCTAATCTTTATTTTAAAAGCATTTAATCTGGTATTGTAGGAGGGCAGGTTTATGTAAATGAGGGGCATGACTGGCCTACAGCACCAACAGATAAAATGTTGATGCACTTCATCTCAGTCGCTCTTCTCTCTTCCCTATCTCCTGCTACTTGACGGTGAACAAGGATGGAGTCTTCCTAACTCCAGGATCTAGCTCAGAGTAGACACTCTGCATTTATGGAATAAATGAATATAGTTTTATGACCCACATGGTAAGATGAAGGACACAATGCTGCAGACTCTGGCCATGCTGGCTTACCTTACCTTGCTAAAAAGGTGATAGGTACAGCAACGTGGCTCTTCCATGCACAGCAATTTAGGAATGTGAGATTACAAATGACCTTGGGGAATGTCTCCAGTTACTTAAAATGACAGTCAGTTGACTGCTAATATATACTCACATAATCTTATGTTACTGGCTCCTCAAGAGTCCACCAAAATAGCACTTTTAAGGTATATTTTTCTAATTGGCGATACTTTTGAAGCTGCAGTAAGAGACATTTTTCCTCATCTGCACTAGCAGAAAATGGCACACTGCAGGTATTTCAAGTAAATTAAGACAACAGCTATGTTGAAACATGCCGTGGAGACACAAAAGTACAAACAGGAATGTATTTCACTGATACTTTCTACCGAGAGAAAAGTGTGACGCTAAGTTAAATGTCTTAGAACCATAAGGCAGTCTGTCTTCTGTCTGGGACAGGTTGAGTGTTGAGCATTATCCCTAGACAGGATGATATGCTCTCTCATGGTTTACTCTGGCCATGGTGTGTTTTGACTTTTTTTCCCCTCCCCTCATCTGGATGCTATTTCAAGCCAGGTTCTCCAGAGTGAACTACAAAAGGTTGTTCCTGCTTCATACATGAACTCATATTTAAGTGATTCCTATAGTGCAGGAATCACTGGGGGTAATTTCAAAACAAGAATTCTATTTCCCCCTATCATTCTGATGTAAAGATCTGTCCAAGTAGTTGCTAGATGCATTAAATATACTTACCGATTCATTCATTCAGTCAGTCAGTCATTCAACAAATATTTATTGAGCATATGCCACAGGACAGAAACTATTCTGGGTATAAGGCCACAGGGGAGAACAAAAAGTCACAGGCTCCTGTCTTCAACGAGGAGCTTAAAGTTTTAGCCTAGATAAGCAAAAAAGTAAATAAACAATATAAAAGATGAAGCTACGAGCCGGGCAGGAAAGAACCAAGGCACATCAGAGGTCAATGGGAGACAACCTGATCTGAGAGTATCTTTCCCACCTGGCTCCACCTTCTGGTCTCTTGCATTGTGTGTAATGTTCAGTTTCAAAGAACCTCAAAAAGTCAAGCATTTTATTTGTATTAAATTCCAAAAGCAAATGATAAGCTGTTTCTTAATTGGCCACCTGCATCTACGATTTAAAATCTGCATGAGAAAAGGAAGGATGCCCTTTGGAAAAAATGTTTCTCCATATGTTCAGACAAAATGGATTTAAAAAATAATTTTTAAAATTAAGAATCTTACGTAATGTTACTTTTCTGAAATGAAAAACTTAATTTGAAGGTAAAAGTCATTAATCATGCCAGATATATCCTAACAATGCACTTTTTTCTACAAACAGGGAAACCCTGCCTATGAGAAATATTTAAGACCACTATTACAAAGTTCAAGAGCCAAGCTGTGAAATAATCAGCAGCATTCAAGAGGCACCACCATGTGATAATGGTACTATTTAATTGGCATATATAGATAGCATTAACGGCATATATTTAATGGCATATATAGCATTAAATTTTAAAGTATACTTCATATACACTTCATATATTTTCAAGTACACATACATCTAATTTTTTTTTTTTAAGTAAGCTCTATGCTCAACGTGGGGCTTGAAATCATAATGCCAAGATCAAGAGTCTCCTGCTCTGCCTTCTCAGCGATACAATAAAGTATGTTTTTTTTTTTTTTAAAGAGACTCATGATCTTCTTAGTCTGTAACAAATGAAACATCTGTGATTTACTTCAAGATAATCCATGGGAGGAAAAGGAAAGAACAAATAGCTAAAGACTGTCAATGGATACATGAATGTTTGTACTATTCTCTTTACTTCTGAATGTGTATGAAATGTCCCACAATAAAAAATAGCAGCGCTATCCATTTGTAGCATCTATTTTGTTAAATACCAGGGTTCTGCTTTAGGTCTTAAAAAAACTTAATAAACTTATTAGTTATCACTTCTGTCTATAGCACACATTTATCTGAGGGCTTCCAAGGACATACACATGTGCACACACACACATCCAATCCTCTGAAAGTGCCTATATTCCAAATAAAATGTAGAGCCCTGAGAATACAACTAAGTATCAGTTATTGAAAATCAACTCTTTCACAGTGAAAACAACATTTCCTCAGAGGCGACTGGGTGGCTCAGTTAAGCTTCCGACTTCGGCTCAGGTCATGATATCTTGGTTCAGTTTGTGAGTTCAAGCCCCCATGTCGGGCTCTGTGCTGACAGCTCAGAGCCTGGAGCCTGCTTCGGATTCTGTGTCTCCCTCTCTCTGCCCCTCCCCCGCTTGCACTCTGTCTCTCTCAAAAATAAACATTAGAAAAAACTTTTAATTTCCTAAAAAAAGACATAATTGTCTCAAATATAATCAAACTACATTTTTCATATTGCCCAAAAAAACAATCAAAATTAAATGCCACCAGACATATAAAATTGCAAAACAACCTCAGCGACTACTTTCCCTAAGTTATTCATAAAAATAATTAGTTAATAATTGATGAATCTGAGAAATTTTATCAAAAACAAACTTCTCCCCAGTAAAATGGCCAAGAAAGAAACCTCTTAAGTTTTTGTCTTTTGAAATCCTGGAACAACTAATACTATTCCCATTTCTACATTTACTTTCAACTCAAATCACTGTCTTGCATTTACCTCAGCTAACTCGACCCCACATAAGTGGCTGAATAGTTTTTTAGCTAACCTCTAATCAATTTGAAGTATGAGAATTTTCTAAAAAGATAACCTCATACTAGCACATTTACTAAAACCACAGCAACCTGCCAATAACATGAAGGGATTTTAGATTGGAGACGGTTTAGTTCAAGATGGTGAAAAGGGAGTAATTATAGGTTTCTGGATGTTGGTCATTTGTCAAATCTTAAAATAAATTTTCAGAGAGACATGGGCAAAAATGGATGTAGGTAAGTATTCTCATCCTTTCAGAGAGAGAATCTCAGAATGAGAATGTTCTCATAAAAAGGACATAAGGAGAACCCCACCCGAGGGCACACGGCCTCAGAACTCCATACTTCCCTTAGAAAATAGCAAAGGGGCACCTGGGTGACTCAGTTGAGCATCCAACTCTTGATTTCAGGTCATGAGCCTGTGGTTGTGGGATCAAGCCCCACACTGGGCTCCATGTTCCTGCTTAAGAAATCTTTCTCTTTCTCTTTTTTTATATATATTTATTTTTGAGAGACAGAGTGAGACAGAGTGCAACCAGGGGAGGGGCAGAAAGAGAGGGAGACAGAATCTGAAGCAGGCTCCGAGCTCTGAGCTGTCAGAACAGAGCCCAACATGGGGCTCGAACCCACAAACCGTGAGATCGTGACCTGAGCCAAAGTCAGACACTCAACCGACTAAGCCACCCAGGCGCCCCTGAAATACCTTCCTTCCTTCCTTCCCTCCCTCCCTCCCTCCTTCCTTTGTTCGTTCCTTTCTCTCTTTCTCTTTCTTTCTTACTCTCTCTCTCCCTGCCCCCTCCCTCCCCAGCTCATGCTCTCCCTCTCTCTAAACGAATTTTAAAAATTAAAAAAAAAAAGGAAAACAGCGAAGAAATTACAGGACTTCCTTTTATAAGGTGTTCTGACAAACTAGGAAGTCACGCTGTAGCTAACATAATCCTTCCTGTAACCTCCAAAAAAGACAATCCAATCAATTATTCAAAATAAAACTACAGTGAAATAAATAAAAGTACACTGCTCCAGAGTCTCCATTCACTGCAGTATTTCTCCTCAGAAACGGACTTAACTGTAATAATAAAATATATTTATGGGCCACCATAATGTTGTGAGAATAAAGTGGCTAAAGAGGCAATCTGTCCCTGTGCTCGGTACAAAGCTAGAATAATGGTCATGTTCAGTGCTGACAACTGAAGACAAATCTGTAATCGTCAACCTAAGTCCTATTTGGAGAAAATTTATCAAACTGTTATGCTCACTATTCAAGTATGCACTCTTAGATGAAACTACTAACTCCATCCATTCCTGTGCCAATAACACAGTGGAGTTCTATAAACTGCATCCTAAGGTTCTACAGAATCCTCTTGAGTCAAATACAAATGTGCCACAGGCGGCACATACACTGGGACATAAGCCAAACAATGTGTACTTTATGCAAGGAATATGATATCCCCCCTTAAGTAACAATAATCAACAAATACAAACCTAATTTTCATATTTCATTTTTTATTAGTTTTTTTTTTTTTCTTCCTGGTAGACAGTACACTTGGGAATTATACTGCACCAGGCATAAGGAGTAAGAGTTCTACCACAGGGACATTTTGTATTCAGAATCCAATATAAATATTTCTAGTCAGACATTTCCATGGCTACAGATATTTGGTTGCTTGATTTATATGCATAGAAAGAAACAGTTGTCATAACTGTAAAAAGCAGTACTTAACAAGTACTTTTAAATGATTGGAACAGTTTTCCTTTAATATTACAATACTGCTTATCGGTTTGGAAACTAGGTCACCCTACATGATGTTTTGATTTTTCTCAAAGGCATCATGAGTACTCTGTTTATTCTTTCATTCCTGCATTTTTAGCCTTCTAGTTGAGTTAGGGACCATTTAATCAGAAATCATTGTAGCACTGTAATAAAAAAAAGCTCTGTTAAGAGTAGATTATATACCATAATGATTTTCATACTTCTTTTTATAAAAAAGGTATCTGGAGGCTCTGAACAGGCACATGCATACTCAAGGTAAAGGAACAAAACATAGAGGAGTCTGCTAAAGCACAAAACTTCCTTCTGGTCCTCAATGCCTTCAAATAAATACAAATATTAAAAAAAAAAAATCCCACACTGTGATTTAAAAAAAAAAATCAGTTTCCAGGAACTTCTCCCAGGCTCAGAGATCAGTCATCGGTCTTCCGGGCCAGCCGACAGAAAGTCCAGTTGTGCTCCACCGTGTTCTCATTGGCCCGCTCACTCATGTGATGCACTCGGGTGTTGCGGATCGTGAAACCTTGTTTTGTAATATATTCCATCAAGTGGACCCGGAGAGAAACTTCCTGGTGATAATCACAGGGTCCAAAAGTAAAGGAAACCTGGCAATCTCTGGTGTCCATCATGTGCTTATTCCACTTCGTAAAATAGTTTGAGATACCTTCTAGTAAGGAATGAACCTTGGTGGTGATGGTTAATTGAGTTATGATGACAGCTACTGGATTGGAGTACTTAGAAAGCTTCCGAGTGCTAGATAACTCCACAACTTCTTCAAAAGTATCCATAGGATACAAAGGCTTAGGGTCATTGAGACACTGAATCAAGGGCTCAATCTGATAAAAATCTGCTTCTTTCCGAAGCAGATCAAATTCCTTAAAATCCAGGGGTAAGGTCAACTCTGAAGTTCTTAAGAAGTTGAGGACGTATCGAAAAAGAGGTCCATCTCGATCAATGAAGTAATTGCCTTGAGGGTCCCGAGCTGTGGGGAAGTCCCCCCCAAACATAGCTCCAAGCATGGAATCCGGGTAACGCGTCAATGTAGTGAGGGACGTTGTATACAAGTGTCCACCTACATTTAACGTGACTGGGTCAGTCATCTGAAATTTTTAAAAAATGATCAGTCATCTGAAATTTCTTAAATCCTAACTTTGACAAATTAAGAAAATTAATGGTAACAAGCAAAGCAAAAGATTCCTTCAGGCTATAGTGTATTTAGCAATCCTATAATCCAAAATAGCTTTACTGTTAATGATAAGCCTATCCAGATAAAGGGATCTAACTTTTTTTTTCAATAGGAAAAGGATAAATCTAATTCACTGAAGTCTTTTCCTAAAAAAGGAGAGTATGACTTCCAAAGCCATTTAATATCAGGCCCAGTATCTACAGAGAAGTTTTTAGGTCAAAGTAGACTATGGGAAGAAAAAGGCCAAAATGAAATATACTCATTTAATTTTTCTGATTAAAAAAGAGACTTTCTTATTTTAACTCAGTTTGACTCAAAGAATAAAAATGATTTGATAACATAAAGATACCTATTTTAAATATTCTTTTGTTTATCCCACTCAGAAGAACAAATCGTAAAATTTATTTTAAAAATAAAAATTTGTGCAGACCTAATCTTTATTAATTTTACCATGGAAATAACAGTGCCAAATACTAAGTTAGAATACAGTTTAATCAATACAGTCTCATATACTCAAAGGCTAATAACAGCTTTTAAATTGTATAATCTGATAGTATATTCACTTTTGTAACACTAATGTTGCAATCTGGCCTTTAATTTTGAGAAGCAAGCTTCTCTAAATAATACATACCTTCCGTTTTAGAAATTATATTCAAGAAAAAATAAAATAAAAATACAGACAGACTTCAGGTACTAGGCAAGTGAAGTATTTCTTACCAAAGGAAAACAAAAATAGGAAGACATGCACGCTCAAAAAGTACGGATGGGAGAAGTGGCACGTTCTCCGCCTTTAACTCCCCTAACACAAGAAAATATCTCTGTACTGTTACCTACTAGACTATTTTAATAGTCACTACTCTATAAAGGAAGAGTTTTAAGAACAACCCACTTTAAAGACCCAAAAGTCATCATGATGCCTCTCAAGTAAGTGATTATAAAAAGTTACTTGGAGAGCTCATATGGACTTTGCCTACATAAAAACACCAAACTAAACAAAAACACCCCCAATATAATCTAAACTAAAAAAAGGGGCAGCGGGTGTTGCACTAATGTATAATTTCCATTCTTATAAGATGTATTGTACCTAAGAATACAGAAGAAAGGAAAAGACACACAAACATTATTTGCCAGCCTTCAAAATGCATCTGCAAAAGCCTCTCACCATATAGCCCCAGTCTCCATTATCCATCTGCTCCAGCGCTGCGTCTCAGGGAGCCCAGGTTCCAGGG